TCATAAATGCACCATTCTTACACAACAGCAGAATCTTGGTGTTTATAAAGGGATTCACCCAGAGGTTAAGCTTACTTACGTTCTACAGATCGTAAATGAGCGTAACCCCCAGATTTCGGTGATGTGGTAGGTTGTGGAAGACAGTTATCATTGTAGAAATTGAAATTAATTAATTCTAGAGTAAATAATTTCATGAAATACGAGATTTAAAGGGTACCGCTAATCCATAGTTGAGCGAATAAATCATTTTTATAGCGCTAATACAGTTATACCGTACAAATGTATATACTTACGAACCATTTTGTGATTTTTGTATGATAGATTTCGTTGGGTACAGTATGATAACAGTTTATTAAAATTAATGTATAACATACTTGATTTGAAGATTTTAACTCCTTAAAAATCACTCTTGCACGAAAAGATAATTTTTAATTCTATGTACCACTAACTTTGCAATTGCATTTAAAAATCGACATTTTCATCAATCGTAGGGAGATCCAAATCTACATATTATATATATTATGAATGAATCAATCTGAGTAATTTTTGTTTTTGTATTTTACCATTGAAATAAAATCCGCCACTTGCGTAAGATAATGGAATAAATTGTAACACTGAACGATACAAATTTTAAAGCAGATATTTTTCGTAGACGCCTATGTTATTTCCAGATACAAAGTAAGAAACTTAACGAAATCAATACTGTTTTAAACTGAATGAATTTAAAATATTTTTTGACCGTAATGAAAGTATGCGTTACGTTCAGTATCATTTGCCATTACAGATTTTCGCCATGTCCGCCGTTTTGTGGGTGTGTATGTGTGGTGCCCTCTGGGTCCTGGTCACGACTTTGCCGGTACAACAGCAGTCTGTTCAGGACTGGGTGGATCCAGGTAAGGGACAGTCAGGCCTCATAAAACGGTTTCTCGGTGTTGACAAAGTAAACACAACGCACATTCTAGTTAATTGATAAAGACAGTTTTACATGATGTTACATTGATTTATAAATTAGATATGCATATTGAAATTACTAGTTCATATTTCATAAACAAGCAAATTTATCTTTTCGAAAACTATTGAAAGAAGAACGTATATTAATAAACAGTTAAAACAACAACGACCGAAATAGGGATATACACTTTTAAATTAATTAAAACCGAAACGGTGTATACCAGAATATGTATTAATTAAACAATTTAAACGATAACGGCCTTAAGATGGACATATATTGGTAAATAATTAAAACAAAAACGGTTTATACCAGAATATGTATTAATTAAACAATTTAAACGACAACGGCCTTAACATGGACATATATTGGTAAATAATTAAAACAAAAACGGTTTATAACAGAATATGTATTAATTAAACAATTCAAACGATAACGGCCTTAAGATGGACATATATTGGTAAATAATTGAAATCAAAACGGTTTATACCAGCTAAAGTATTCATAAAACAATGAAAACCTAAACGGCCTTAACAGGGACATAATTTATTAAAATAATTAAAACCAAAACGGTTTATACCAGAATATGTATTAATTAAACAATTTAAACGACAACGACCTTAAGATGGACATATATTGGTAAATAATCAAAATCAAAACGGTTTATACCAGAACATGTATTAATTATACAATTCGCTTGACAACGGTCAACATTTTTAAAACAATCAAAACTACAACGGTCTAAGCAGGACTTGTATTAATCAAATGATTAAAACGACACCAGTCTGCACCAGAATGAATCCACGCTCAGACTCAAATTATGTGCTCGAACTGTCTTTCCTGTAAGTCGCCGAACCTTGCAATGAGATCAAAAGTATATAGTAAGGCTTATGCTAAATTCATAGGACATTTTATATAATATGATATTTTAAAGGACGTTTTCTCATTTTGATAAGGTCCACTTTCGTGGGACGTCAAGGTCAGAAACACGGATGTTTGGCCACATCCTAGTCTGATGTAGAATTCAAGTTTTATTCGAACTTTAGGCCATTGGCCCATCAGTATACAATACATATTATACACAAATCATGGACTTAATGTACAGATAATGAAGGCAATCATATTCCATTTTGATACCCTTAATTTGTTTGCCTCATAGATGAATTTTTCCTAGTATACACAATTCTTTAATATTATGGACACTCAATAACTGAACGGCTTTAACACAGATGTTTTTTTCCAATAATAGCTTTTTGATAAAACGTGATCTGAGATTTTGGAATTTAGAACAGAGTAATAAAAAATGAAATTCGTCCTCTACTTCAGAGGGGGAGTTACACTGTTTACAATATCTACGTTCTCTAGGTATATTTTTATACCTTCCAATTTCTACAGCCAAAGACNCATATTCCATTTTGATACCCTTAATTTGTTTGCCTCATAGATGAATTTTTCCTAGTATACACAATTCTTTAATATTATGGACACTCAATAACTGAACGGCTTTAACACAGATGTTTTTTTCCAATAATAGCTTTTTGATAAAACGTGATCTGAGATTTTGGAATTTAGAACAGAGTAATAAAAAATGAAATTCGTCCTCTACTTCAGAGGGGGAGTTACACTGTTTACAATATCTACGTTCTCTAGGTATATTTTTATACCTTCCAATTTCTACAGCCAAAGACTGTGTAGATGTACGGATTCGAGTTAAACAAATGCGATATTTCATTGGTATATATTTTGTGAGGTAAAATTGTAATGATTCTCCGAAATTAATGATATTTTTATATAATAAACATTTTGGAGAGTTTTCCATTGAGGCCCTAAGGGATTGTATGCCTTGATCAAAAATTCTTTGTTTTATCAATGGTAATAACACATTTTGCTGAGAAATACATGCATGGATTTAACCAAACATCCTTAAGACCTAGATTATTCAGTTCATCTTTAGTCCAGTTGAAATCATTTTTACTACAACATTTTAATAAAAAAAATCTATAGGAAGTGGAAATGATACAATTTTAAGATTTTAAGATCTTAAACCAATATTTTATCATTCTAATTTTTCTCATACAAACTAGAGGTAATCGTCCCAATTCAAGATATACCATGTTGTTATTGGCCGATTTCTTCACTTTTAGTAATTTTTACAAAAATGTAAATGTACATGTTCTATCTCTGGAGCTTTGTGCATACACCAAATTTCACTTGCATAAAAAAGGATACTGCTTACATATGTATCGAAAAGGTGTAGCATAGTTTTTACATTTAAGTTTAATGATGAACACTTTGAAAATAGTGCAAACATAGCTTTTCGTCCTTGGATAGCTAATTGTTTTTGGATAGAAGTGAATTTATTATTGTAATTTAGAATAACACCTAGGTAAGGAAATTGATCCACACATTCGACTTTACTTCCTTTGTAATACCATTTTTCATCATTATGTAATTTTTTCACATTTTCTAAAAACTACAATTTTTGTTTTTCCGTATTTACAGTTAAACTCATTTTTGTAGAGTATTCAAAAAGGCTATCAAGAAGAGTCTGCAGACCNTCGACGTCATAATATGTTGCATCTTTTTCAATAAAGGACATTTCAAAATCATTAATAAAAAGTGAAAACAGCAATGGTGACAAAATTTCCCCTTGCAATAAACCGACATTGTTTTCAAAAAAGTTAGAGCATTTCCCATTAATTGAAACACAGGATTTGACTGATATATAAAGCGACTTAATAACAGACAACATTTTCCCTCGAATACCAAGCCTAGTCAACTTGCGCCATGAGCTTAACCTGTCGACAAAATCAAACGCTTTGCGAAAATCTACAAAATAACAGTACAATCTTTTCTTAGATGGCAATGTTTTTGTTATAATAGTATGTAATGCAAATATAGCATCTATCGTACTCACTTCCGGACGAAATCCGAATTGAGCATCTGTTAAAATATCATATTTTGTACAAACATCTAAAATACGTTTATTAAGTATAGAAGTAAAAAGTTTACTAAGACAGCTTATTAAACTGATGCCTCGAAAGTTATTAGGGTCATTACGTGTACCTTTTTTATGAACAGGAATAATAATAGCCGGTGTGGTTATCGTTTTCGTGTTTTTTGAGTCGAGACATTTTGATGTACATAACATGAGCAAAACAAACACTTTTACGAACAGAGGAATAAAGCAATCTGAAACATTTCCCAGTGGATTTATTTCATAAACTATCCCGTGTTGTTTCCGTATAAATCGATGACCTGTCATTTGACCGTTTATTACCTCATTAGCAGTACAAGGACACACACGGAAGCGTACATAATTGATTACCTCATCACTCATTAAGTCAGACTGACATTTGGTAATAGTATAATCTTAGTCGTTTTAATATTTATATAAAAATGAGATTGTGGACAGCTACTCAAGTTGAAGTATCGATTTTTAAATTTTAATGGGACGAGACGAAAGTTTTTTTATCAGTTAAGTTGATATCCTCCAAAGCATGTCTGGACCAAATGGTTTTCGTCACACTCGTTGATAATGTCCGAAATCAATGTCAGCAAAGTGTTGCATGATACTGGAGATTAAAGCTTGCTCTTTAACCACGGCATTATCTGTTGAATACGAACAATTATACTTGCGATAAGGAACCTAAACAAATAGACATAAACAAACAAACCTGATCTGAGATAATAAGTGAAGCCTCCCAACAAAACACATGCTTTCGTCCACCGCACCTTACGGTGCCTTCGGCCCTATGGATGTAAAGGGTGGTAAAACAATGTGATACCCTGTCACTCGATTTAGGTATATGACCGAAGGTAGAACATATCATGATACAAACTATGATATAAATATATATATATTTATATATTATAACGCGTTTAGGTAAGCTATAATATGTTAGATCAATTTCGTCATAATATGTTTGACATTCGTAATTTCTAGCTTCCCATTTTTTCTTTTGGCATTAAAATACTTCTTTTTAATATAAACTTTATTTCATTCCACATTAAGTTGCATGACACCACATAACATACAAAGTACAGAGGAATGGGATCCGGAAACAAGTTGAAATAACCTTCACGAGAATTTATTTCATCAAATTATAGGCATGATGACAAAGTTACTGAATTCTATGGAAATTAAAGTAGAAAATTGAAATTTTGTGAGCGGGCTTGCGTAGATAGGTTTTTAAGTTTATAATTTGAAGGGTAGTTCTTAATATAGTCAGGCAAGGAGTTCCAGATACTGATGACAGATGGCAACACAGATCTAGTGGACGAAAATGATTACCCGTGCGAGTATCATGGTTGTGATAATTTCGGTTACGCTGAGGTATAATATTAAGAAGGTATTGAGGTGCCAGACCGCGAACCATTTTGTGGAAAAGAATAAGCTTGTGCTGTTTACGTCTTTCCACGAGGGGAAGCCAACCTGTTTCGGTATACAGTTTAACTCTACTTGTGAGTCTAGTGCCGCCAGTGATTATGCGTGCTGCTTCTAATTGAAGATTTTCTAATAACTCAGATTGAGCTTTAGTAAGGCAGTCCCATAAGATATAGGTCGAATAAGAGTGTAGACTAGTATAAGTTTGGAGACTATACCTGTCCAAAGCGAATTTGAATTTACGTAACATATTTATTTTAGGTGAAATTCTAGATATTAAATAATTGATGTGCTCATTCCAATGACCATTTCCAGAGAGAAAAATACCTAAATGCTTGTGTGTAATAACTTCAGAGGTGTTAGTATTGTTCATATTTAAGGGAGGGTGAAAAGGTTTAATGTTTTTTCTACTAATGAGCAGGGTTTCTGTTTTGGAAGGGTTAAAATGTACTAACCATCTTTGCGACCAGTTATGAATGTTATTAAGGTCACTATTAAGAATTTCTGCGCTGACTCTAGGAATATCAACAGTGATGTAAAGAGAGGTGTCATCAGTGAATAATTTATTTTAGCTTGTATATCTTTAACAATGTCATTTATATATATCAGAAATAAAAGAGGCCCAATAATTGAGCCCTGTGGAACATCAGTCTTAACATGTAACCAATTTGATTTTTTACCATTGATGACAACTGTCGGCTTTTGATTGGAGAGATAATTTTCAAACCAAACTGATAGCGAATTTCGAATCCCATAGCTGGATAATTTACAAAGAAGGCTTTTATGCCAAACACGATCTNATTCAGATGGGAATACCCCAGATCTAATTGATCTGTTAAAGAGATTAATTAAGGGGACACATATGATATTTACTGATTCTTTAAAAAGACGAGGATTTACCAGGTCAGAACCAATGGCCTTAGAACTGTTAGTGGTAAGAATAGCATCTGTGACATCATTAGCTGTGATGTTGATATCAGATTCATTTTAATATCACATAAGGAATTATTACATTCACTTTTTTTAGTGACACATTCCCAATTTATCAACAATCAGTCAACAGATTTCTCATGTTAAACGTTGTTTTGTTTTCGATACATTTTTAGATTTTGTTGAAGTTGTCAATTGGAGGCGTACCTTGAAATCAGCACGATATGATTTTTTTCATTGCAGTAAATGAGCCAGTAGACCAGCAGAAGAGCTTCATTCTACAACCAAATGGGCTCCAAAACCAAAGGAAACAACAAAGTAGCTTGCCAAAAGCAAATCCATTTGCACACAAAAACAATCTGAGACGCATTGGTTTCCACAACAAAAATAATTTCGTTTTTCGTGATCAACCAATATCTGTAATTGGACCAGACGGGCAGGTATACTACGTAGGTAACCAGCTCAGCCCAGCTAAAAACGTCCCAAAGACACCATCTGTTGTACCACAGGCTCCCGTCACAGACAACACGGTTCCACTACCGTCTCTCGGTTTCGGAACTCAGCCAGAAATGATGCTCTCTCATCCAGAACAGCCGAGTCAGGAAGCGCTCATGTTGGACAACACTGAGACAAGTCCAGCCCAGTCTATTTTAGAAGCCGAAATACAGTCGTTACAGAGAAAGCTTCCGTTAGAACCAGCAATTCCAGATATTTTGCAAACAGCTACAGTCATGACAACGAATAACGATAACACAGGTAGTGATGACGATGATGATATTAAGGATGATGACATTAATGATGATGACTCAAATGATGACGACGATGACGATTTAAATGATGAACACGATGATAATGTAAATAATGACGACGATGACGACATTAATAACGAAGACGATGACGACGTCAACAATGAAGACGATGACGGCGTAAATGCTGAAGACGATGACGAGACAAATAATGAAGATGATGATACAAATAATGAAGGTGTTGATAACGTAAATGCTGAAAACGATGACGATACAAATAATGAAGATGATGATAACGAAAATGCTGAAAACGATGACGATACAAATAATGAAGATGATGATAACGAAAATGCTGAAAACGATGACGATACAAATAATGAAGATGATAACAACGTTTATACTGAAGACGATGACGATACAAATAATGAAGATGAGGATAACGTAAATGCTGAAAACGATGACGATACAAATAATGAAGATGATAACAACGTTAATACTGAAGACGATGACGATACAAATAATGAAGGGGATGATAACGTAAATGCTGAAGACGATGACGATACAAATAATGAAGATGATAACAACGTTTATACTGAAGACGATGACGATACAAATAATGAAGATGATGTTAACGTAAATGCTGAAAACGATGACGATACAAATAATGAAGATGATAACAACGCTAATACTGAAGACGATGACGATACAAATAATGAAGATTATGATATAAATAATGAAGACGATGATACAAATAATGAAGACGATGATAACGTTAATGCTGATGGCAATGACGATACGAATAATGAAGATGATGACGTAAATACTGACACAAATAATGAGGATGATGACAACAATGTCGAAGAAGGTGATGATACAAATATTGAAAACGATGACGACGTAAATAATAATACTGATGATATAAATGATGACACTAATACCGATGATGATAACGACATAAATGATGACAATGGTGATGTTATGAACGATGATATAGATAATGAAGACATACACACAGATAATGAAGACAACGATGATGTAAATGATCAAAACGAAAACGACAATGAAGATGAAAACGATACAACTGAGGATGATGCAAATGATTCAAACAACGAGCAGACAAATGCTATCACAGAAGCTGACGATGACATCGATAACGACAACGAAGTTGATGATGTAACTGACGCGAATATAAACGAAAATGACGGTGATGACAATAATGAAGATGAAGAGGAAATTTTCCAGGGCGATTTCAATGAAAACACAGTTCCTTCTATAGAAGATATAGAAGATATAGTAGACGTCGAATCAATAGAAAATGACATTGACGAAGAAAAAGACGCTTTTGATGATAACAGTATTGATGATAATGACGAGGACGACAATGACGAGGATGACAATGATGATGATGTTGATGTAGGTGGCGATGATGATGATGATGATGATGATGATGATGATGATGATGATGCAATAAATCACTTTAATGAATTAATCAATTCAGCAGATACAGACAACGACGAAACAATTGAAAATACTGATAATGTACAATCAAACGAAATCGGTATAAACGACGACGACAATGATGATGATAACGACGATGATGATGGTGATGATAACGATGATTATGATGATGATGATGATGATGATGATGATGATGATGATGATGATGATGATGATGATGATAATGATGATGATGATGATGATGATGATGATGATGATGATGATGCCTTACAATCGAATGAGTTGAACGAATCTGAGAAGGAGATGGATACGGACGTTGACGATAATGACGAGGGTATTCCAAGTGTAGAATTATCATCAGGGGAAGCAGTTGGCAGCAACGACGACAATGTTAATGATTTAATATCAAACGATTTTAATGTATCTGATGAGAAGGAGGACGAGGAGGACGAGGAGGATGGCAACAAAGACGATGCTGATGTAGAAGGCGATACTCCAAGTGCAGAATTACTACCAGAGCAAACACCAGATAACATCAACAATGATGATGTACAATCAAACGAGTTAAATGGGTCTGAAGGGGAGGAGGAGGACAATGACGATAAAGAAGACGACGACACTCCAAGTGCGGAATTATTATCAGGAGAACAAGTGGTCGACGACGAACATGAAGACGCCGATGATATAAACTCAACCACGTTAAATGAATCTAAGGAGGACATGGACGGGGATGATGAAGACGATGACGATGAAAAAGACGGAGCGTCAACTGCAGCATTACTATCAGGAGAAACGATAGATGATGATGATGATGATGATAATGATGATGATGATGATGACGATGATGATGATGGTAATGATGATGATGATAATGATGCTGATGATGGTGATGATGATAATGATGTTGATGATGAAAATAATGATGATCATGATGCCGATTATGATAACAAATATGAAGAGGAGGTGGAGGAGGAGGAAGATGATGATGAGGAGGAGGAGGAGGAGGAAGACGACGGTTTAATTAAGGCTTTTAAAAATCACATCGCTACTAAATTTGGTATCGACCTGACCGGTATTAATGATCCTGATCAGCTGCTTGATCATTTGAGTGAGGTCATGGAAGATACCTCAAATAGCGAGAGCAATGAGAACAGTGAAGTCAACTATGAATTACTGGGCAAATTGGGATTTAAACAATCAGGCGATGAGAGTTCGGACGAATTCCTTGAGAAAGTGCTTGATGAAATTGAGGGTCATTCTGGAAGCGAGGAAAGTAGAGAAAGTTCAAATGAAACCGAGGAAGACTCAGAAGAGGATGTTTCTGAATCAGATTCTAGCATTCAGCCGATTGTGATGGATTCCCCGTATGCTTTACCTAACGAAGGATATGCCATCAGTCCGGACATGGTGTTTGACGACGTGGTGGGAGCATCTCTCCAAGGTGTAGATAACACAGAAGTTGTATCATTACCTGTCGGAGCCCTCTGATCTCATCACATGGTGGGTCCATGGCCCTATGAACAATTAATCACATCCTAAGTGCCATTTTAGGGTCACTGGTAAAAGGTATTTAGGCTTTGTAACTTCACGAACAATTCTTTAAGCTTGTTTTTTCTATGGAAGTGTGACAGAAAAGCTTTATTGAGATCGAGAACTTTTATGAAATTAAAAGAAATCGAATGGTAATATTCAAGTACATTATCGTCATTTTAAACAGCTGTTATATTTTCTACGGTTGAATTGATAGGCAAATCAACGTGCATACAGAGTAACAGCTATGTAACGTAATCGTCGTTCAATTTTTATTGAGAATTGTAACGCATATAATTTATTTGACAGTTTTGCTGATAACATGTTGATGGTAATACTCTACAGTTTAGACTTAAGGTGTACAAGATTGTATACAAACAATAAAGAAAACTTCTATTAATTAAACAAGACAAAAGAACTCGAGGGCATTCATTCTACATGGACAAATCAAGAAGTAGATTAGACGTTCGTAAATACTCGTTTACTCAGCGTTTAGTCAGCAGCTAGAACTCCTTACCCGAGTACGTGGTCCAAGCACCGAATATCATAACATTTAAAAATCGCCTTGATAAGTTTTGGGACACTGGCGACAGGATGTTTACAATAACACCCGAGTGATGTCACATACACTATATTACATGTATATAATTATTATTTGAAGGACTGTGATCTGAATATAGAGGCAAATGTATATGCCTGCGTTCAGAATAATCTAAGTAAATCTAAGTTAAAAAAACAAACAAAAAAAACACCCACGTATGACATTGATACATATATTTCATGAAAATCAGTTATTGTTCATGACATGATATGACAATGATAATTATGGAAGGAGAAATCAATATCTTAACAATTATATTACAAACGTAAGCACTTCGATCGTCTTAAAGCTACAATAAAGCATGGCAAGGTTACAAACGTAAGCACTTCAATCGTCTTAAAGCTACAATAAAGCATGGCAAGGTTACAAACGTAAGCACTTCGATCGTGTTAAAGCTACAATAAAGCATGGCATGGTTAAGAAATACGACATTAATAAATGTATGAACAGACATATTTACAAATATATTGAGAATAATTGTCGCTGTACATGGTATTCCAATGCAAAAGAGTTGGAATACAATGATTTCAAGAGTTCTAATTTATATGTACATATATAAAAACGCACTCGTAGGTTTATATATGGAAAGATACAGTTATTTTCATATACTGTATGTTCGCGTACTTGTTCGACGAGCTGAAATTTTCGCTTTCCTAAAATCTCTTAAGTTTATATATTATATTTATCTACCTTATAAATATAAGCGTGTGAAGGCTCTCTCGTTAGTTAACTCCACGCGGAAAAAAATGCGAACATGGCCACACCGCGAAAATCTGCACCTTTAGAGTATAATTAAAGAAAACATCTAAATCAAAGATACTTTATACAATTCCTAAATAATATTTCATCCACAATAAAGTTTGGTGCCTTAAAGGTGATTTATGAAAACCCATTAAGCAGAATTACGCGACTTCACATATCGCAGGTAGTGGCAGCCTCTGTAAACATTACGACATCATACACTTTACAGTGCTGTAAATACTGAAAGGTAACGAAGGTCAATTTCTAAAGGTCAATTTCTAAATGTCAATTTCTATGCCTTTTTCTTGGCTTGCGATACTCGTTTCGTTTCAGTTATCTTTAAAGTACTATATTACATTATGCATCAGAATAATTACACTGCGTCGAAGATAAAATCTAAAGATAAGCGTATCATCTACTAAGTCGGGAATGGTGCGTCGAAAATAAACCAATATACATTAAACCCAAATATAAGGGCATTATCAACTACGTCAGTATTAAGGGAATGGTGATTCAACAAGACCAATAAGTGCAGACTCTTACACGTTTACACTCTGTTTTCACAAAATGATAAGCAGACATTACATAAACGTCATTATCGCGTTACGACATGGGCGCAGTATTATTTAATCAACACTCATACTCTCTTCACTCTCGATGTCATCAAAAAGAACGTTGAATCTTGTCTCGAGCAGGCTGTTCTTTCCTACCGGTGACAAGGGGTTACCACAGAGATCAACTTCCTGTAGAGATTGCATCTTCACTAGCTTATCGACGTCAATTTCTGAAGAAGAAGAAAAAAGAAAAATAAATCCAATTCAACTACATGATTTTCACAACCAGGTTTCATTCATACGTAGAACCAAATACTTAATGACCCCTACGTTAGTTTCTGCGAAGACGAAAAACAAACAAACCGACATAGTACATAATATGGTGTTCAGAAATAAATTAAATCCACAGTACCAGATAAGTACATACCAGAGATTGCATTCCTGCTCATCTTCAGTACCAGTAGATTACCACACTGGTAAACCACTGGTGGTACTACACTAAGGCGGTTCATAGAAAGGTCCAACACCTTCAGCTCTGACATCCCTGCCATTTTTTCTGGTAACTCAGATATCGAGTTTTTACTGAGATTAAGTTCTGAAACATATGTCATGACATGTTGTAGGAAAATGTATGTGAAAAGGTAATTTGATACAAATCAGACCCGTCATGTACCATTTATCGCAGCCTTTCGTAGAGAATCGGAGTGAAGGTTCTGATTTTAATCTGATTTGTGAAGAAGGGCATGATGGTCTACAAATGATCTACAAGCAATTGAAGAATAACATATTTGCCAACATTCCAAATTTATGACCTCTATTTGACAAAATAATCGCGTTAAACCCACTTATTTAAGCTTGAACCTCGGTTTTACTCACATTGAGCTAGACTATCCATCCTTCAAAATATCAACAGTTTGTGAAAAATCATGTTTTTATTTGGAATTTCAATTTACGGGTATTGAATATTATCGTATTAAAAAGGGCGGGTTCCATCCCATACGGTTGACAACACGTTAGAGGAAACATAAGAATATGTTAAAGAATTATCACAACAACACAACTTGTCAAATATGCTCTACCATCCTCGATACGCCAAAGGTTTCGCAGCGAGCAGAATCCTTGTATTATCGAGGATGACGTTCTACATGAGAGAAAACGTACGTAGCGTTGCAAAGTCAGACAACTACAATGCTTTGTGTAATTATATATTATATACTTTGTGGGAATACCTTGGAGCTGGTTCAAGTTAACTGGCAACTTTGGTGGGACTTTCTGTAGCTGGTTCTGTGATAAGTTACATGTCTGTATAGTTGTCCCCCTCAGTACCATGTAAACGGCATCAGGCACCTTCATCAGACCACAGCCAGACAGATCTACAACGATACAGTGTAACTGTAGACTGTGTTACGTTCGGACACATACGCCCATCTTTTTTTTGTTTGTTAAAGGGAATCTTTTTATTGACAAACATCAGAATTAAGACAGAGAAGATTTTAAGTAATGTGTCAAGGAGATAGCAATACGTACATTGTTATAACGCGGCCAGCGCCTTCTATATATGAATAAATGTTCCTTGTTCGATTATTATGTCTATAAACTCGGGTTACTTTCTTTTAAAATCAACTATCGAGAGAGGATAAATATAAGAAAACCAATCATCACGAGTTAAGGGAGTCTGTGTGTGAGATAGACTAGACTATATACACCACTCTAGTGTATCCTAGGGTTAGTTTGTTTTGTGTAGAAGCACGTGTGTACGCGATGGTGGTGTATGCACATCACGTGTAGCTCAGCTGTGTCTATATTTATCTACATGAACAAACTTTTCGTACCTCACAAGTGTATACATATTACGCTGTTTACAAATCTCCGTACTTTAGGTCTACTCTCCATATTACAGTTGCGTATGGTAACGGATATGTAACTTACCTAAAGCACCATTTTCCTTAGCTGTTTGAAGACGTCTAGAAATTTCAGCAACTTCCGATGCTGCTTTCCTCTGCACCTCTGTCGCCATACCTCCTTTTCTAAATATAGCTCACTAGTTCATGCCGATACCAAGGTTACCATGATGCTGCACCGATTCTGATGTCTGATGTAAGCTACGTTACAGATAAACATGGAAGATTTATAATAAACAATAAACATTAATGAATGGGTTTCAATCAAAGATGGTGTACCACCAATGTACTTGTGTTGTATACTCGGTTTCCTTTTCTTATTTATTATATTTAATCTATAATTAACATAATACCGATAAATAAGTACACACGACACCATTCTTCAAATGAAAGCCGACAACTCTATTACAACCAATTCTCTATATATACTTGTAAATATAATTTTCCTCGATCTTTACTTATGAGATGAGCAACTGGAACGCCTTACTACTAATATGTACGATAAGCGGACGATTACGATTTTCCTGAACTTCACTTTCTTGATAAGAACACCCCTACTACGGTGTTAACATATCGCAGTTGATCGAAATATCATGATTTCTGTGATAACATGCTGGCTGAGGAAGACTAGGGACATGTTTTATGGTCGCCATCATGGTCTTATCTGTCCTCGAATTCCCAGGGATTCCACTAACTTACATTCTCCGTTCTCTACATCCCCGGAATGTGTAATGTCGAAATTGGAGGCTCGCTGTTAGCTTTTTGATTGGTTTCAGATAAAAGAACACGGACATATCGCTAGGTTAATACCTGTTCTTTGATGGTTACAGAAGAGACACCCAGCTTCTAAGTCGGTTAATTTTATCGTTACACTCCAGGAGTGCAGAAAACGTAAGTGGGCGTAAACTCTGGAAATTCGAGGATGGATCCCATAGGGAAATATGCTATTTCTTTGTTTGAAACAAAGGTCGATGTTTTTGTTTATGCCCATTAGTGTCCTTACCGTTTTGTTGTTTTCACTACCCAAGTTCTAGCTATGAGGACGTGGCATTATTTTTATTTGACACGAATTTACATGACGGGTGACGTAGATGAAGCATAATTAAGACACCGACCCTTTTGGAACACCTGGGCCCGTATTCATGAAACCGTTCTCATGCTCAAGCATGGATTCTGTGCTCAAACCAGTATTATTGTAACTGGCTTAAATCATGCAAAACAATCAAATACTTAGATGTAAACATTGAAAACAGTATTCGGCTCTAAGGCTCTTTCAATGTTTTCCAAATCTTTTACAAAATAATAATTTTGTATAAATTTATAACCAGAACAAGAAAGTAGGCATGAGAACAAAATCCATGAATAAGCATGAGAACGGTTCCATGAATACGGCCCCACATCTTGCATAGCACTTTTTCACATGTCTCGATGTAACGTTTTCCTTTGTTCATATTTGTCTCCAGTTTCATCAATTCTGAGTTGGAGTTGCCTTTTTGTTGACACTTTGGTATTCTTTATTTTAGTGAAAAGCTAGCCCGAATTGAATAGCTAACCTAAATTTCCAAAAACCTAAGGATGATATTTAGTTTTGTAAGTGGGTGTTTCTATTGTACTATATTATATAGTAACGTCGAGCGACTTGTTAATGTAGAAAACGCTTAACATACAAACATACAGTAATATCATCACCATAATAAGTATTATCTGTAAAGTTCTTTTTGAATCAATAGTAGTATCTAATATATACAAGGGCCTGATGTTCCCAGGCTGAAATTTAACACTAGCGTTTAGATCATATAATGATACTAAATTATAACAATAGTTAATGTTGCAAAAACGTAAACTGTTTTTAAATATAAAGCTTTACATAATATTATCATTAGCATTAGAACCCTTTATCTAAAACATAGTTTTATACATTTCTTGTGCTAATGTTGATGATAGGTAAATCGTGCAACTACTCTTTTTATCTATAGCGGTAAAATCACTGGTGCTTGCATAGATAAAACAGTTGTAAGGGATATACTTCTTTATATATTTATAACGGGCTGTGTAATATTGTCACCACATGTGACATCATAACATAAATACTTCTCGTTTTAACGACAGGAGCCAGTGGTTAAATTGACAAGAATTCAGCTGTATAGACATTAACTTTGTGTGGTGAACAGTCCTTCCTGTATGGTATCACTTCCCTAGTTTTTATTCCAAATTGTACATCCCTGTACATCAGTGACTATATTTATACTAACAATAAGGAACTGAACAGATAATACAATGTTATAGTTGTTTATTCTATTTTATAAATACATGACATGTACAATCATCAAAGGGGGTCATAACATTTAACGATTTTCTAGTTTTTTAGTATACATTCTTAGTAGAACGACATAACAAACAATGAAACAAATGTTTTAAACAGTAAGAACCAAAAGTATACCAATAGTCAGTATGTGCAGATATAGACAACATTTATATATCACATTGTAATGTTTTGAAAAACGCAACACTCGGTAATGTATATAATTGGTGAAACTAGCAATCCATGCTTATACATAGGGGTATTGATAATGGCACTTCATAATCTATCACTCCAACACACAAGGTTGTGTTCATGATCTATATAAACAGCATTATTGAATTAAGTTTATAATTTACAACTACATTAATTGTAAGTTACAGATATAACTTCGAAATACAAAAAACTTGGTTATGTATATAATTCATAAGAAACAGCAATATCTAATTAACTATACAACTCATGAATACAGAGAGATTTAGTTTACTATATAACTTATAAATATAAAACACTCAGTGATATATCTATATAAAAAACAGCAATATTTAGTTATGTATATAATTCATGAATACAAAACATTTCAGTTATGAATATAATTAAAGAATACAGATTGAAATAAGTTTAATAACTTGTTTCTGGATCATATTTCATGTATGTAAAAATTAAATGTCCTGTATATTGTAATTGCAAATTTACGAAATAAGATATGGTTTATAATAAAGAATACAGAAATATTCAGTTAGGTATATCATTACACGAAAACATCACCAAATAAAATGTCAATCTTCCAAGATAACGGAAGTAACCATAAATGTATACTAGTCGTCAACACAAGTGTGCTACTTAATTATAAAAGGGTATAAAAAAAAAAGTAAAAATGTTTCTCATTCCTAGATATTCCTTTAATACAGACACTTGCTGTACTGCTGGTACTCTGGCTCAGACAAATTAATTGTGTCCGTTTAAACTAGTTAATCAAAATTGATCACATTTGTTAAGATTTTAACCACTCACTCTTTAGAATAATCTGATAAACCAGTACTCCTTAGTATCAGTGATGGTCTTCAAAAGCATTTTCAGAAGCTTATTTTTGTTGGGTTTTTTTTGTGATGGAACTAAGGAAGTCAATCATATGCTTCTGACAGACTTCTATGTTAAATCTGACAAATATGTTTGGTTATTTGTTGTTTAAATGTACTATACAGCAGATTATCCAACAAAACATCAGCTGTCTCCCTCCTCTGGTCTGTCCAGCAGAACTTTGATGCTTGACTCTTGCAGACGACATTTCGCTTCTGGTGACAGTGGGTTACCGCGTAAATCAACTTCTTGGAGGGAAGACATTTGTATCAACCTTTCAACGTCAATGTCTGAAACAACATGTTCATTTTTATTGTTTGTCTTCAATAAGTTATTTATTTGGAGCTTTATTGGTTACCATTTAAGATACATCATTGAAATGACATATAAAGGAATGGGTTGTTCCTCATACCATTTTGGACATTCACTCTGCACACAGGTAAAGGCCTCATCTGTCAATACACCTATAATATATATGGTGTGTTGACAGATGAGGCCAGTACCTGTGCTCTGCTAGCCTGCTGTTTCCACTGATTGGATCATTCAAATACAACAGATAAACAAATGCAGTGTTATACACTCGAGAATTTCCTCAATTTGTTTGGTTGCTGTCAAAACCCATAAAACCCTAACTACATTGAACATGTTAGATATATACCAGAGATGTGATTGTGGTCCAGCTTAAGTCGGTGGAGTTTCGAGTATTGGTACACAACATCAGGTAGACAGGTGAACTGGTTCTTGGAGATGTCTAGTGTCTGTATGTCAGTCATTTCACTCATTTCCTCTGGGAACTCGGACAGTTTGTTATCACTCATGTTCAGCTCTGAAACAAAAAGACAAACATATTGAGAGTTAGTCTTGAAGAGAAATAGAGCTTCTTATGGTAAGGAAGAGCACAGACCTGTTTTCTTTCATTACAAAAGACTTTATCTTTGATAAAGCCCATTGAAAATGTGTGGAACACTCAATATCAAATGACATACATCACATAGTAAATAATGGGTAAGTTTAAAAATATTTTGAGTTAATTTTAAAGTAGAAAGTCAGATTGACTTTGTCCTCCGAGATATTGCTTGTTTTGTATGTAGGGATTTGAGAAGGAATCTTGTTAGTCTAATCAACTACACTGTTCAAATTAGGCTTACTAAGCCTTAGTGTTGTTAGCAATCTTCTCCCATCGACATTGGACAAAGATACAATAAATGTATGTATACATATAGTTTATTATCATATTTCTGCATCTTACTAAGAACATAATTTTAACATGTCTTAGGAAATGACTTGAGTGATACAAGCAATGGTTGAACAATCTGCAGCAAACTGACAAATATGAAATTGACAAAATTCCTTTTTAAACAGGTTTGGTTTGTTTTAATTTTGTTTAACGTCCTATTAACAGCTAAGGTCATTTAATGACGTGCCTCCATGTGTGAAGTGTATGCGTTCTTGCGTGTGTGTATGCAGGAGACAGGGTATGTTAGTGTGCCTGCCTCCTTGTGATAGCCCGGATCTGATGCCAACTTTATAGTGCTATTCCACTGAAATGCCATGCTCAAGAAACCCAGCACAGCATTCCGCCCGGTCACATTATATACTGACAACGGGTGAACCAGTTGTTGCCATTTTCCTTAATGCCGAACGTTAGGTAGGAAATAACAACCACCATTTTTAAGGATCTTGGTATGTTCCGGCCTTCCTCACCTGGACGAACACTCAACAGTCATGCCAAAAGTGAGGTGTTGCCAAGCAAGACGCTAGGAAATAAAAGGTAGTTAGAAAAAGATTGATTTTGGTCGCTTTTGTGTCCCCAAATAGAGGACACCAAAGCAAATCCCCAATTCTGCAGGGGGTTCCCTCATTAGTCGCAGGGGTGTTTTTAAACAGGAATTCACAGACTTTCGAAAAAAATACCTATTAATTAGTATTTTTAGGCAGAAGTTTTTGGTTAACTTTCTTTGAGTAGGACACCAGTATTTGATGAACCTTGTTGATGGCTTGCAATGCGCAATGATAGCTTTAAATGATCTGTATCGTATGAGAGGATTTTTTTTTTCGATGTTTTGTTGATGTTTTTATTTGGTATCATATGAAAGAGAAGAAGCAATGCTTTACACTTCATATCAAATACGCTCATATTCCATGCAGTCTAAACGATCAATAATCAATATTAACAGAAATCACCTTGGATTGTTTTGAAGGTCATGGGAAACCGGGGAGGGATTCTCTTTAATTGATTGTTCGAAAAGGAACATGACTGTACAGGTGTGTGTTTCAGGAATATGTAGATTGCATTAGGAAATTTCATCAGACCACAGCTCGTCAAATCTATAACAGACAAACAAAAGAAATCAACATATACTTCATATTCTATCATTTCATAAAACTTTTAATATATGGTATCTCAACACTATACTTGTTACCTGTGTGTGTGTTAGATTTATCTTTCAACAGAGCACAGTCAATAATGTTACTGTCTTTTAAACTTTAACAGAGCACAGTCTACATAATGTTAGTCTTTTAAACTTCAACAGAGCACAGTCTACATAATGTGTTTTAATTTGTTTTACATTATGTTACTATCCTTCAAACTTCAGCACAACATTCTTAACATCCATCTCATTGCTAACAAGAACAAGAATATTAAACTTATTGAAAAATATGTCACACAATTAGACCTAATTAAATAGCTCTGTGTTTCTGCTCTTCACCTTGAAAGAGGATTTGTCAAGCTGTTTATTAGATTAAAACATTGAGCAATGTACTGTAGTTGGCCCTTTAATGTCACGCTACCACAATTAGAACACTACCCAAATCGGTACACGTCCAGAAAAGGGTTTGAATAGTATAGCATTTTCCTTTGACAGTAAAACAAAATAGATATTTATCAGCATTTCCACTGAATAGTTTTGTTTTCATGAACATTTTAAGAGTACACAATGATTTCAAAGTAAACATATCAGAAAACCAGTAAAAATGAAGTACATCGAAGAAATTTTGGAGGATTTTGAAGGGGTTAAATATAAGCATGTTTAAATGTTGATTTCTGGTCCTTATAACTGGATATTATAAAAATGTATGTAAACAAATGTAGTTCAGTATAGTATTTATAAAAGCAATACATTTTGTTGCAATCGGCGTCAACTAGTAAAATTAAAAACAAGTTTCATAGCCTGTGATATGGTGTACCAATTTGGGTACTAATCAAGGCCGAAAAACGGACGAAATCACTGGGAGTTTAGCGTTCTATTTTCAAAAACAAATTACTTAGAATTAAAACTTTTTCTGAAAATGAACCACCATAGGTTGTCTTTGTCAAAAATTAAGAAACATTCCAGATACAAGATCTGAATTTTCAAATATCACTGAAAAACTATCAAAATTGTACCAGTGTGACGTTTTCTTGTTTACTTTCTACTGTTTATTTCAAATAAAGTCTTTATCAGCCTGTCATCATCAGAATTTCATCTTGGGTCAGTCCCTAAACAATTTTTGTGATGTATATTCCTCATAAAGTCATGGACACATTTTTCTAAAATTTTGTATACAGGTTATCGTGTCAAATGAGGCTGAATTTATCATCTGGTCTGGTAATAAAAACCGATAATATATTGACATAATCGATCTGATAAATCCTCCTAAGCAAGAAATAAAGGACACTACAGAGTCCTCTACATCAGCCGCTTTCCTCAATCTTAACTTAAATTACAACATGACCAACAGTCACTTTATGACAGCTTACTACTAACTTAGCCTGAGTTTAGACATTTTGACAGATAGATGTCTGGTGTACATCGATCTGTAAAAATATCCAAGTCTGGTTTCAGGGCCAGAGGAAACTCGGCTGTATGATGAGCAGGACGATTTTGAGTGAACTTTCTCCTTCTTAACAGTAAAATCATGCCTTCCCCTACCTATGGTGTTTATATATGTCACAGATGATTCGGTATTCAAGAGCTTCGATTTGAATACCATGAATTTTGTGATGGATGTTGACTGCTAACAGACAAACAACACAGATGCAGGTTGTTGAAGACTATGGGCAGGTTTTATGGTCGTCGCCTTTCTCTCTTAGGGAAATATATTATTTCTTTGTGAATATATTGGCTGAAGAGGGATTATGATGGTCGCCCTTTTTGACGATTTGGGTCACATTATCTACCTATGAATAATTTCTTACAAATGTTAAGTTTGTTTTGAACAAACATTAAATGAAAGCTTATTTTGAAAGTTTTGTTGCTGGAGCAGCCAAAGGTCAGCTCCTGTCCAAGTAGATGATGATGATGATGAAAACGTGTTTAATTTCTTATGTCCAGTAATTAAGAGTGCAAATGACAGGTCTACCCACTCTAACCACTGAAAACAACTCACTAGGCCATTAATGTACCGGCCGAGTCACTAAATGAAAATGTCAGAAAATATAGAGACATTTCGCCATAGAGCACTCTACTACATACAATCACCTCAGTCACAGGTTATATGTTTACCCAGCAGGTGTAGGGTCGNTATTGGGTCATAGTCACGGCAATTCGGTGATGTTTTCGGCACCAAATCGCATATTTCCCGATAAAATATGGCAGATGGAAGTAAATAACGTCTACAAAGGTGATATTTCACAGTAATAAAGAAGTATTTGGTTCATAACTGGATCGTATGGGGTAGTATTGGGTAGTATTGGGTGGTTTTGGGTAGTATTGGGTGGTATTGGGTAGTATTGGGTAATTAGACGCGCCCACAGGTTATATGTTTACCCAGCAGGTGTAGGGTCGTTTTGCCCCCAATACCGACCGCCATGGATCGGTCTAATTTGAAGCTTTTCTATGTCTCCCTTAGTCTTTTTTTTTTGTCATTACATTCGTTAGATTTTTATGTGGTCGACCAGATATGTACATACAGTGTCCTGAATGTAGCTACACCTGTATCAACACAATTGTTCGTGAAAAATTAATATAGCAAGAGTTTTGAATCATTAAAAAACATTTCGACAGATATTCATAACTTAAAAATGAATAATAATATTGGAGAGAAACAAAGACAAAAAAAACATTGGGTGAACTGGATAAAGGGCGAAACGACTAGTGGAGCTAACTGGATTAGGGCGAAACGACCCGTATCCGTTTTTATCTGTTTATGGTCACAGATTCATACCAAACTGTACAATTTCTTAGATTTCTGTTACAAATGGACAAATTGTATACCAATCTTATTGTTTTCCTGTGCTTCTTGAAGACGTTGTGCTACTAAAGCAGCTTCTGCAGCCATTATGACAAGCTTGTGTCAACACCACACCACATGATAACGTTTCCGTTTTGTTTACAACTAGCACGTGGCTCTTCGGCGTCGAAGATAGAAAATGTACTAAAATCACAATCAGATATACGCTTATGTTTTTAGCGACGACTTTGAAGAACCGTTTAAAACATTTCTGCGACCACAGAAGAATAGCAACAAAAAAGTTTCAAAATGGCGGCATGAAAGGAAAACTGTCGCAGTGACATAACATTTTAGAACATTTTGCAAGAGCCAGGTAAGAGAATTTGATACAGATGTATGCAAAGAGTAGTTTAAATGTTTGTTTACAAGTGGGATAGATATCATGGTGTTATTGGTATAGGTTTTAGTGTAGAACAAACTTTGATTTAGAAAGGCAAGTCTGAACACGGTACTGTCAAAATGACAGTAGCTACATTACATTGGAAATTGTCGTAGTACAGAATAGATGACAGTGGCCTACTTACAGTATGAGTTTTTGATTATTACGATCGACGGCTTGGCACACGTGTGTGAATAGAACTCGACAGATTGTGAAGCGTCTTCAAACTATATCTCTTAAAATAATTGATTAAGTAAGCGACATCATGAGATATGTTATTCATATGACTATGATACAACTATATACCAAATTTTAATTTGATTTGTTGAAAAATGATTGAGTTATCGTGAATTTAATTCATACGATGTACAGATATTAAGCGATACGCCGTGTCACATATGTGTACGTAGGGTAGGGCTTCGCATAGGCAGAGACGTGTATGTGTTATACGTCTCTGGCATAGTTAGAATATATTGCTATATAAACATTGATACACCTTTAATCAGCTGTGTCAAGAAAAACATTATTGTATATATTGAACAATTTAGATTTTAACTGTAACCGATTAAGAATACATTTAACAATGTGTTTAATTATCTTTTTTTATTATTATAACTAATATAGTGGGAGGGGGATGGGTATCAGCGCGCAACTCTCGCTACAAAGGAGGCGATACACGATAGATTAATTAACAAACAGCCTCCGAAAGTCATTCTAGATGACATTAAGTCACTGGACAATTCTATGAATGAACCCAGAGACCTTAGGCAAATTCACAATGCCAAGTATCTTTTGCAGAAAAAAAAACGTGACGACAAACAACTGATAAAGACAAGGCCCCGATCATGTCATCAATCTTTGGTGAAGATGGTTTATTGAATTGTGATTCAATAAAAGAATTCAATACCATTGCACAAACGATTGACGAGTCGTATGGAACACTAAATCGTCAATCGAAGATATTGGTCAGTAAAGATTTTACCAACGATTAAGCGCAGGGTGATTGAATCGAGATTGCGCAATGCTGCAATTCCAAAAGTTTGGAAAAACAACAATTGCGAATCGATGAATCACATCAAACTTCTAGGGGACTGGGAAATATCAAAGGTTCCCGAGCTGATTCAGCGTTTGGATAGCATTCAACAATCGCTGTACTCTGACGTACGTAGATCGTTGCATGGTGTTGGAGACTATGAATTGGCCGCGCACGCGCAGCATTTCAAGTTGAGCACAGTTGTGTGGCGCGAATTGTCAACGTTTGATAAAGCGCGCAAAGTTGACAAGTTCCTAAAGTATATGTGGACGAAAACAGACTTTTTAACATCTACGAATGGTATGTGAACAATACCTAAAACCGCAGCAATCGCAAAAAAAACAGGGACGCGAAAACGTGTTCGCGCGAATCGCACCGAAACGCACGGTCCTGTTAAACAACAAAAGTTGTAACTTAGTTACCTGATGACAATGACGCTAAATGAAGAAGTTTTTTACGCTTTCACAACACCTGTGTACCCGCAGGACGGGATTCAAGATGTGAAAATTACTGACATTTGGTTTTTTTACTTAGAGTTTGAACAGAGAAACAGTTATTCTTACGTATACAGACAAAATGTATTTGATTATATGAAATACCGATATTTACACCTGTGTGCCAGTTATTTCAAAAGAAGTTTAAAACGATTGTATTTTTCAGCTGTACCTTTACAACAATTACCATTAAATTTTAGTGTAGCCTTCATTTAAACTTATAGGTACTTAGGGGATTTTTTTAAACACTAACATTAAATCGATCAGTCACACGAACATATAACGGACCCTGAGTAGAACCACGTCCACGTCCGTAGGGTCTCGTAACATGCTCGTTTCAAGAGTGTGGCTGAGAGTTCTACAATATAATCCGGTCCAACTGTGTTCACATATGCGAAGCCCTACCCAACGTACACATATGTGACACGGCGTATAGCTTCGTAAAATCGTAAAATTAAATTCACGATAGCTCAATCATTTTTTTAACAAATCTACCTGAAGTTTGGTATAAAGGTGTATCATAGTTATATGAATAACATATCTTCTGATGTCGCTTACATTATAGGTTAATATTCGAGATATTGTCTGAAGACGCTTTACGATCTGTAGTGTTCTATTCACACACGTAACTGCCACGCCGCCGATCGTAATAACAAATTAATCATAACTCGATCATTTTTTCAAATATCGAGCTGAAATTTGGAATATAAATCAATAAAAGTCTAACTAATAACATATCTTCTGATGTCGCTTACTTTAGCGGGTAATTGTAACGATATTATCTGGCGACGCTTTCTACTCTTTTCAAGCTAATACACACATGTGCCACGCCGCGATCGTAAAAATTCAATTCATCATAACTCGGTCAATTTTTCAAGTATAAAATTGAAATTTGGTACAGAGGTGTATTATTGTCATATTAACAACATATCTTCTGATGTCGCTTACTTAATTTAGTATTTTTGAAGATTTTGTCTGGTGACGCTTGTTGTCACTTGAAGACGCTTGTTGTCGGTTGAAGACGCTTTTAAGTGAGACCCTTAATTTGTATTGGTCGGTACTATCAAAACTTCTCAAAACGATCTCCTCCAATTAGCAAAAAACAACACGGACGTGCTCAGAAATCAAGTAACGAAAACATTATCACACGGCGACGATTATGTGTACACTAGACTAAATATGTTAACATGGAAAAATGATATTGTTGTATACACCGCAATGTCATTAAAATTACACCATTTTTGTTTCATTTCACTATTCTTATTTATTTCCAAAATTGAATTCAATATATGTTATAATGTGTGTTGGCGTGAAGAAAATAACGTAATCCGTTTTTTTTGCTTTACAATGTACATAACAACAACACAAACACATTTTTAGCTCACCTGGCCCGAAGGGCCAAGTGAGCTTATCCCATGGTGCAGCGTCCGGCGTCCGGCGTCCGTCAACTTTTTCCTTTAAAATGCTACTTGTCCTGAATGGCTCAGAGGATTTTGACCAAATTTGGTCAGGAGCATCATTGGCCAAAGGGTTCTCAGTTTTGTATAAACGGAGGGTATAACCCCCCTGGGGGCAGAGGGGCGGGGCCAAATAGGGGGAAAATAGGTAAATCTTTAAAAATCTTCTTCTTCTCAACCAATAGAAGGATTTTGACCAAATTTGTCCTAGAGCATCTTTGGACAAAGGAGACTCAAGTTTGTATAAACGGAGGGTGTGGCCTCTTTGGGGGCAGAGGGGCGGGGCCAAATAGGGGAAGTAGAGGATTTTTTCTCTCCTACTATACAAGTGAAGGGATTTAAACCAAATGCAGTCTGAAGCTTGGTCAGGAGCATCATTGGCCAAAGGGTTCTCAGTTTTGTATAAACGGACGGTATAGCCCCCCCTCGGGGCAGAGGGGCGGGGCTAAATAAGGGGAAAAAAGGTAAATCTTTAAAAATGTTCTTCTTCTCAACCAATTGAAGGATTTTGACCAAATTTGTCCTAGAGCATCTTTGGACAAAGAAGACTCAAGTTTGTATAAACGGAGGGTGTGGCCCCTCTGGGGGCGGAGGGGCGGGGCCCAATAGGGGAAATAGAGGATTTTTTTTCTCCTGCTATACAAGTGAAGGGATTTTAACCAAATGCAGTCTGAAGCATGATTAGGGACAAAAGAATCAATTTTGTATAAACTGAGGTGTGTGGGCCTCCTTCTAAGGGCAGATGGGTGGGGCCCATTAGGGGAAATAGAGGAAAACATCAAATATCCTTCTCCTTTTGTACCGATGAAGGGATTTTGACCAAATTTGGTCTGGAGCATCATTGGCCAAAGGGTTCTCAGTTTTGTATGAACGGAGGGTATGGTCCCCCTGGGGGCAGAGGGACGGGGCCAAATAGGGGAAAATAGGTAAATCTTTAAAAATCTTCTCCTCAACCAATTGAAGGATTTTGACCAAATTTGTCCTAGAGCATCTTTGGACAAAGGAGACTCAAGTTTGTATAAACGGAGGGTGTGGGCCTTCTGGCGGCATAGGAGCGGGGCCCAATAGGGGAAATAGAGGATTTTTTTTCTCCTACTATACAAGTGAAGGGATTTAAACCAAATGCAGTCTGAAGCATGCTTAGGGAGAAAAGAATCAATTTTGTTTAAACTGAGGTGTGTGGATTCCCCTTCTTTGGGGCAGATTAGTGGGGCCCATTAGGGGAAATAGAGGAAAACATTAAAGATCCTTCTCCTTCTGTACCGTTGAAGGGATTTTAACCTAACCAAACTTGTTTTAGAGAATCTTTGGGCAAAGGGAATTGAATATTTATAAATGGAAGATGCAACTTTGTTACTTGTACTCCTTTGATAAACCTGAATGGTACTCAGCAGGTTTTAAATTGAAAAATAAAATACCAGGTGAGCTATTAAGGCCCCTGGGCCTCTTGTTTAGCTTATGCCGTGGTGCGGCGTTCGTCCGGCGTCAACATTTTACTTTAAACGACTTCTTCTTAATAACCGAAAGGCCTAGGGTGATGATATTTGGCCAGAAGCAAACTAGGATGAAGGGCTACCAAGTTTGTTCAAATAAATGACCTTCATCTATTTTTAAGGTCACATGGGGTCAAATATGTTTAAAAACTTTAAACAACTTCTTCTCAATAACCAAAAGGCCTTGGATAATGATATTTGGCCAGTAACATGCTGGGATGAAGGGCTACCAAGTTTGTTCAAATAAATGACCTTCACCCATTTTCAAGGCCACATGGGTCAAATATGTTTAAAAACTTTACACAACTTCTCCTGAATACCCAAGAGGCCTAGAACAATGATATTTGACCAGTATCATGCTCAGATGAAGGGCTACCAAGTTTGTTCAAAAAAACGACCTTCACCTATTTTCAAGGTCACAGGGGTCAAATATGTTTAAAACCTTCAAATAACTTCTCCTGAATATCCAAGAGGCATAGGCTAATGAAATTTGGCCAGTAACATGCTGGGATGAAGGGCTACCAAGTTTATTCAAATGAATTACCTTCATCTATTTTCATAGTCACAGGGTCAAATATGTCTAAAAACTATAAACAACTTCTTCTCAATAACCAAAAGGCCTTGGATGATGATATTTGGCCATTAACATGCTGGGATGAAGGGCTACCAAGTTTATTCAAACAAATGACCTTTACTCATATTCAAGGTCACAGGGATCAAATATGTTTAAATCTTTAAATGACTTGTTCTGAATATTCAAAAGGTCCAGGGTAATGATATTTAGCCAGAAATATGCCGGAACGGAAGGCTATAAACTTTCAAGATCGCAGGCGTCATATGTTTAAATCATTTAATAGATTCAAATGGATCGAACACAGATATTTTGCCTGTAGCTGTATATTAGTCCACTTTTAAGATTACAAGTGTGAGATTAATACCAGGTGAGCGATTCAGGCCAATTGGGCCTCTTGTTTTTAAATAAAACTGATTTTTATGATATGGAAGATTAAGAATACTGAATTTGTGACTTAAAACAAGTAAAAATGAAAAGAAAATACCAAACAATGTTTCGCCCTAAAAAAAATGTTTTAGGACGAAACAACCTAGCGCGAAACAACCTAGGGCGAACGGGATTTGGGGCAAAATAACCCGGAACCGATTATCACTGGTATATTACAATGAGACGAGTGATGTTGACAGAAACCTAATCTATTGATACATCAACGTGTGTTTATATTCTAGGTTACAAACCATGGAAGGCTTTAAGCATGTATTCATGCGTCTTTGTAAAGAAAACCACATTGAACCCCAGGATTGTGTTTTAGTCCAATTAAAAAGGTGAGGAAAGAATTAATTCTCATTTATAATGTATACATGCAATTGCAACATTCTTGACTATTGAGTGTTCATAATGATAATGGTGTGAGTGAACTTACAATTAAAGAGTCTCTTTTCATTTAAATTTAAACATATCAGTGTTTCATTGTCATATGACCTCTATCCATAAAAAATACCAGTATGATAGTTTCAATTGTTAATTGTAAACTGTATCAACTGTAAGATTCATAATTAAGGAAGGTACAGTTAGAAAATCTTTCAACCATTATTTAGATATGAAATATTTGCTGTATGTATTATTTAATACTTGTACAAACATTTTACTTGGTATTGTCTATCATATAATGTTAACATTGAGATAATGATTTAATATGAGGTGATTACAAAAGTTACATTTCTATTGCAGTCTTGATAGCAGTAAAGGGAAACATGTGTTAGATCTATCTACAAACAGTTTATCAGCTAAGACATGCCATGCCCTCGGGAAAGCAATAGCCACAGACAAGAACTTCAGAGAAATCAAGTTTGCTGATTGCATGCTTAGTGAAGATGGTATGACAATAAAAAACAAGTTTCCACTTTAATTCTTGATGTATATAAATCCTAGAAGAAAAAAGTTATCAATATGTTTGATGTTCAGAAATAATTTGTTATAAGTATGCTTGGAAATTCAGGATTAAAACATGTACAAATAGAGTTATATCAACATTATTGTTTAAATTTACAGGTGTAAAAGGACTAGCCTATGGATTTTCCACAAATAACTATTGTAAAAAGCTTGACATGAAGGTGAGAATTTTTTAACTTATCATGCCTTAAGTTATAGATATTATGTATCACACAGAAATGTTTTAAACGGTACTTCAAAGTCGTCGCTAAAAACATGAAATAATGAAAAATATAGCCAAGTAATAAATATGTAATATAATTGTATATATTTATTTAAACACCTTTTACTTTTCTTGATAAATTAACAACTGCTAGGATATACATGTATGATATATGATAAATGAACGTCATGATATTTAATGAATGTCATGTTTTTTTGTTACTTTATAAATATGCACAGTAGTCATCATATCAAGTGATAATTATTGAGATTTAGTTAACTTGTTCACCATCTGGCATATATACACTGTACAGTGAATGTACTGTAGTTACCAGTATGATCCACTTATCTCATCTGCCATCATTTTTGCAGAACTCTCAAATATCCAGATATTTTCCTGTGAGAGAAATAATATGAAAGTTTCTTCAGTAGTCCATAGACTAAAACATGAAGAGAAGTTGCTAAGACATTAATACATAACCTCCTCCTCTACATTCTAGGGAAACAACATTCGAGGAACAGGTGTGGACTTCCTGGGTAAAATGCTGCGACACAACCACACCCTCCTTAGGTACAAGGCTTACATATATCCACACATTTGAATGATTCCTTTGTCATAAAATAGACTAAATACTAATGATAATTTTGTTGTATACGATACTGTCAAAACAGAGTTATGTAACTAAGCAAAATTAGTATTTTTTTGTAATAATAATAACAGACATATTTGTTTTGGTATTAAACATTTTAAATATTTTGTGTACATGTCAGGTGGTTCCCCTTCAGAGTGTTTGCTGAATACAGTACAAAGTGTATTTTATTAATATTGATTGACATTCTAACTCGTCACATTTTTTCCTGTACAAAGTTTGTGTCTGGAGTGGAATGCCCTGGGGATGCTGGATAACTCGTTTGCTCTGTTCTGTGAGGGAGTAGGCTCCAATGATACTCTCCAGGCTCTAGACATCAGAAACAACCAAATCAACCATGACGGAGCAGTCGAGCTTGCCGCGGGGCTCAAGAGGAACAGCACACTGAGGTCTCTAGGTAAGGAACCATACAGGATCAAAGTCATTTACAGCAGCATGTAACACTGTTTACTTTAAGCTCTTTAAATGGTATTTAACTACTTACTATACACTCAATTTAAATATTATCAAATAAACTATCACGACTTTATAAATTTTTAGCATAATTTTTATTTAAAAGCTATTTCAACGAATGTAATACAAACAAGGTTTTAGTTTCTAAACATTAATGTTCTTCATCAACAGATTGCTGAATTTTAAAATGTGTTAATTAAAATGGAATTCTATTTATGCATAGTAGTACTTGTAATTACTTTTGTATATGACCTTGTGAGATTTTGATACAATGTTTATAAAAGGATACACCTACATGATATAACTAAACCTGCTGTACATTCCACTTGTGTTATTTTGGATACATTTATAAGTCGGTGCATAATTGTTTTGTTTTTCAGATCTACGATGGAACAATGTTGGGCTGCTGGGAGGGCGTGCTCTGCTAGAAATGTTACAGATCAATAAAACACTGTGTAGGATGGAGCTGGCTGGAAACAACATTCCTGTAGACATCTTAAAGTCCATAGGTAAATCACTGCTCTGGGTCCTTTCTCTTAGTGCCATGATAAGGTTGTTGTCTGCAGGTGAAAGGTTATAAGCATGGGACTGAGAATAGGACTAGGACACAGTAAAGGTAGAAGTAAAAGTGCTTCTAGAGACAAATTCAAAATACTTGGATTGTGCTACAATTTTTCTTTTTTCATCTGATTTGTTTAACCTGATTTGACATGTTTGTATAATCAAATAATATAATGTAAATTATATTTTGATTATCATTTCATTATTATATCAAATTATCCAGGTTATCACTTCAGTTTAAAATGACATGCTTTGTGTTACAGAGACAGCCATCAGTCAGAACGAGGACCGTGCCCTAGTGACAGGAGAGTACAGTAAAAAGATCACATTAATGACCAAGCATGTGAAACAGATTGAGCATGACAAGTCATTACAGGTAGGGACATGACAAGTCATTACAGGTAGGGACATGACAAGTCATTACAGGTATGAACATGACAAGTCATTACAGGTAGGGACATGACAAGTCATTACAGGTAGGAACATGACAAGTCATTACAGGTAGGGACATGACAAGTCATTACAGGTAGGGACATGACAAGTCATTACAGGTAGGAACATGACAAGTCATTACAGGTAGGGACATGACAAGTCATTATAGGTAGGGACATGACAAGTCATTACAGGTAGGGACATGACTAGTCATTACAGGTAGGGACATGACAAGTCATTACAGGTTGGTACATGAGAAGTCACTACAGGTAGGGACATGACAAGTCATTACAAGTAAGAACATGACAAGTCACTACAGGTAGGGACATGACAAGTCATTACAAGTAAGAACATGACAAGTCATTACAGGTAGGGACATGACAGATCTCTATAAGTAAGTAACAGGAGAAGTATTTACTGGAAGGAACATGAAATTAAAGGTCAAAATAGGTTAGAATGTGACAAGACTCTAGAGGCAAAAAAGCATGACTGCACCTTTCCTTCAATGACTCATTGGTGATGCTAGGGGCTAACAAGTTGGTCTTAACTACTGCTGAAATAGAAAGGGAAGTGCATAAAACCCCTTAATTTTATCAATTTAAAATTTAAAAGTATTCCTTCTTTTAAAATAAATACTGAGTAAATGTTTACATAAAATGAACTGTGCCACTACTCTAAAGATATAGCTGTAGCTATCATGGTTATGGCAAACCTAGGGGACAAAGACATCCACTTTTCTGTTAAATGTAGAAATATTCTTATTTTGTAAGACTGTTTGGGATGAGAACATATATTATGATATGCAGAAAATGAATGTGTGGTGTAATGTTTTCAGTTTTTACCTAGACTATTGACCTACTTGTTACTACTATTTTAGATGAATGACCTGATGGATACTATAGACAAACAAGAAGAACTACTACGCCGATCTAAAAGGTAAAATGTCAAAAATGATAATGTTATAGAAGCATTTTGCTCAGTGGTACCAAGTGAACTATTTATGTTAATGAGGTGACTTGATCAAGTGCAAGTTAACTATTTATGTTAATGAGGTGATTCGATCAAGTGTACACTTGCTATTGAAGTGACTTAAACAAGTTTACTATTTATGTTATTGAGGTGATTCATGCTAATGAGGTGACTGAAACAAAAGAAACAAGCTTGATGAGTAGACATGAACAAGGTTACTTTTGATATTAAAATTTTAAAGGAATCTGTGTTTTAAGTGTTTGATCGGTCTAAATATTGACTTGATTTTGTTTAACAGGTCTTCTTCTGATAAAATCACTAATCTACACGAAGCACTAGAAGAGAGGAAAGCTTCTTTTAACTCTGTTGCTTCCAAGTAAGTAATAAGATATACTATACTTACACTTATATACTGGAATAAGCTAAATAAAACGGATCAAAATGCTGCAAAAAACAAGAGTAATAACTCTTTCAAAAATTACTGAATTTAACTTAAGAATGTGAAAGCACAACTACATGTCACGCTAATAAATCATGCCTACTTATGTTGAATCCTGTCGTATGATGTGTGACATTGCCATTTATGCTGAATAGTGTTCCTTGTTATGTCTCCCCTTCGAATGAAGGGAGATATATTGTATTAGTACTAGTTCTTCTTCTTCTGGTTCTTCTAATCGCATCTTGTCCAGGCCATAACTTTTAAACCGTTAAAGACATCTTGATCAAACTTGAACTATACCTGCATCACCCACAGAAGATGTGCAATGCACTAGAATCGGGTCGTGTGCCCCCACTATATACAGAGTTATTGCCCTTTGTTTATTTTTAATAACGAAGATTGTCCGTAGCATAAGTTCAATGTTATTTCACCTACGTTGACCAAACTTACCATATTTATGTATCTTGGGAAGGCAGAATCTGTCACACTAAAATCAGGTCTTGGCCTCACTTGGCCCTTTGTTTATTTTTTATATCGAAGTTTGTCAACGGTATACATTTTTAACCGTTAAAGATATCTTGATCAAACTTGAAGTATACCTGTAACACCCACAGAAAGTGTTGGTGCACTGAAATTAGGTCTGGTGCCCCACTATATACAGAGTTATGGGCCTTTGTTCTTAAACAAATTGTTCAAACAATATGAACCAGAATAATTTAAAAGTTGAATGGTTTTAAAGTTTACACACCTTAATCTTGATGTGACCTTTCTATTCTTCCAAAAAAAGTTCTAGTTGTTCAACATTTTACATTTTCTAATATTAGTACCATTAGGATGGAGGGTAAATTTACAGGTTAAAGATAATTTGCAATAAAGTTCGTTATAAAATGATTTTTCATGTAACTAGTTGTAATATAAATAAATAAATAAATATAGAACGTTTGATATAGCACCCTATCTAGCTAGAATAAGCAACTCTCAGGCGCTTTACAGTACATATATATACAATTTATACAATCAATACAACTTATATATACATTAATCAATACAAGTTGAGGATTTTGCAGGAGCTGCCTTATCAGGCGCTAACTATTAGTCCTATGCCACCTGGCTAATATCTCCCTATGTGTGTATGCCTGGGGGTTTGCTGGAGATGTATAGTTATGTGCACTATTTACGTGTAATTAAAGACGGTATTTAAAAGTGAAAGCAGATCTCTATTTGTTTTTTTGTGACAAATATCCAATCAGGAGGTGCTGAACATCAGTGTAGGGGGCTCACAGTCTCATTTGTGGTCTAGCCGAGGTAAAATTGCTGGGGTTTCTGTCCGTCCGTCCGTCTGCACTTAGGTTAAGAAGAATGGTTTAGGTCCGTTTCCAAATTATTAATTATCCCACATCAACTAAACTTGGCTTATGTATCTAAGGATGCTTATCAAATGTGATGCATTGGATGCTTCTGAGCTACATTTTCTGCTTCAGTGACCAGGTTAAGAAGTTTGGTTAAGGTCAGTTACTAAGTAACTACTTGTCCTACATCAACTAAACTTGCATTGCTTTTGTATCTAAGGATGTTTATCACATGCGATGCTTTGGATGCTGGTTCTGACCTACATTTTCAGCTTCAGTGACCAGGTTAATAAGATTGGTTAAGGTCAGTTAACTACTTGTGGTACATCACATGTGATGCTTTATGTACTGTAGGAATCGGGCCATATCGCCATTGGTGGTTTCTTGTTTAAGTATTTTATTTTACTAATTGATTTACGCTTGAAAGTATCAAATTTATCATAGGCTGATTTTCACTGTCTATGAAACACCTCCATTGTCAGAAAGTTGTCTTATAAACTAGGTACAATGTCTCATTGTGTCTGTATCACGCTCTGTTGAATCCAGACTTGCCATGACAGAGTCGGAGCTTGCCCTCACAGAGCAGAAATGTAATGATTACTCCATGCTCATGAACAAACTAAAACAGGAGTTGTCGGAGAAGATGGGCGGGCACCAGGAGGATCTACGCAGATACCAGGAGGTGAGCTGGAGTTCCTCCTGTAAAATTCTGATATCTGATACTTTTCATAAGTCACGAAAGTTGAATTGTTTTTGTGAAATGGCATTTTTTCTGCACATTTGTAAAAGTTGTACTTTCATTGAAAACTTTGTAATGCAACTGTTTATCAGGACTTGAAGTGTAACAGCATAGGAAGTTAATTGGTTTTAATGTTTTCTGTTTTCTTATGATGTGAGATCGGTATGAAAAAAACAACCAGAGCTAAAATTAGGAACAGATACAAAAAGTGATTCTTGTATTTGAGTTCAATGTCTCCCCTTTGAGTACAGGAATACACATTGTATTAGCAATGGTTTTGCTGGTTCAGGGTTTCAAAAAGTCTTGTCTGAGCCAATTGTTGTTATACAATTAAATACTTCTTGATGAAAGTTTAAACGTACCAGCATTACACACAGAAAGTGTGCAGTCTATATTGTAGTAAGGTTAATCTGGCAGATCAAGGCCTGGGGCCACATAGTAATTTTAACAAAATTTGTTGTGGCCATAAGTTTTGGACCATTAAAGATATTTTGATGAAATTTGAAATGTACCAACATCATACAGAGGTGTGTAGTATACTGTAAATATGTCATTCTTGGCTTCATTTCAGCATCAGTAGTCAAACAGTTCTTAATTTTTAATCAAGTTTATCTGGTCCACCCATTTTAAACAATGAACATTACAATATTTGGATGTAACATACATTTTAAACAATACATTTTAATTGTTTTAGGATCGTTCTGTAACAGAGGCTAAACTATACAAGGAGGTGTCAGTGGCACACGACAAGAACATCCAGCTAGAGACCAAGGTATGTATACATTTATAGGGACTTGTATCTCATCAGTTTACTCGAAAAACAAGTCATGATTTACACAGGAAATAGAAATACAATTAATATGCTTGTTCAGAGAGTGAGATTGTTTCCATATATAAAGAATATCCCATGTTTTTTTCTTTTCTTCCCAGTTGGAGGATGCAGAAAGGAAATGTCGGCTACAGCAGGACCAAATCTTTGAGCTGAAGGAACAGATCACACACTTAACAGCTGAACTCAAACTTAAAGGGACACATTTTGATGGTAACTATACGAAAACAAAGTAAATATTTTCAGACACATCAAGTTGATTTCTATTTTGTTCAGATTACTTGTTCTAAATTAATTTATTTTGATAAATAAATGAGCTCAGGTTTGAAGACAAAGTAATTGTTCATAGAAGCAGTAGGCATTTCCTCAACTCTGAGTGGTTTTTATGTACCATATTTGGTAAATCTAGACAAGAGGCCCAAGGGCCTTAGTGGTCACCTGAGTACTGGTAGCTTTATTTTATGGTTTAGATGTGATGTGGAAATCAGCATGTAAACTAAGTGAAATGCGATACTTGTCATGTAATCAAAGGATAATGATTTTAAAATATTGGTGAATGTTCCCTTTCCCTTTGGAGCCCCGCCCTAGCCCCTGGGGATGGGGTAGGAATTCCAATTTTACAATTTAATACCTTCATCCACCAAAGATGATTTTGACTAAGTTTGAATAATTTTCTGCTGAAAATGGATAAAATATACCCAAAAGTGTTGTTTCCCTATATAAACTATAGTAAACTTTACCCCCTCCCCAAGGGAGAACGGATAGCTCGGGGGTCCTGAAATTTACAATTTAAATAAAGCCCCTATGATCTTTCCATCCATGCTGAGAAAATGACTGTTATTCCTCTGAGTCAGGAGAAGAAGATTTTTGAAATATTGGTTAATTTTCCCTTTGGGGCCCCACCTTGGCCCCTAGGGTTGGGGTAGGAATCCTAATTTTACAATTTAAAACCCTCATCCACCAAAGATGATTCTGACTAAGTTTGAATACTTTCCTACAGAAAATTGTCAAAATATACTCAAAAGTGTTGTTTCCCAATATAAACTATAGTAAACTTTACCCCCTCCCCAAGGGAGAACGGATAGCTCGGGGGTCCTGAAATTTACAATTTAAATAAAGCCCCTGATGATCTTTCTATCCATGCAGAGAAAATGACTAGTACCTCTGAGTCAGGAGAAGAAGATTTTTGAAATATTGGTTAATTTTTCCTTTGGGGCCCTGCCTTGGCCCCAGGGGTTGGTGTAGGAATCCCAATTTTACAATTTTGAAGCCTCATCTACCAAAGAATGATTCTGACCAAGTTTGAAAAAATTCCATCCACTGGTTCTTGAGAAGAAGTTGAAAATGTAAATATTTATGCACGACGGTCGACGAAGGACGGAAAGTGATCAGAAAAAGTCACTTGAGCAAAGCTCCGGTGACCTAAAAATACTGTTTGATATCATGAATTATAAACATCAAAGTGACAAATACCTTGAAATATCTTACAGAACGACTCCAACAAGAGCGAATAAGACATAAGGATGACTTGAGGGACGCAGAGCAGATCAGACAGAAAGAGGTACCAAACACTTATCATAGATGTGTGACTGGCCAGCATGGTTTAAGGTCTGCAGAACCAGCATGGGGGAGTACATAGTGTACTACTAGCATCCTAGCTTCTTGGAGGAATTTTCTTAAGATAAAAACTGGTTCCATGTGTCTCTAGAGGCTCAGTCTTTGCAGTTACTTTTTTCTCAATTACAGGCGATAGACCAAACGCATTGATTATTAATGGTTAATTTTCCCGAGTTGAACATTTCATTAAAATATTCAGATTTCATCATAGATTTTGATTTATGTTTTGTTTCCATAACATTGAATAAAGATGTGTAGGTATATATGTCAGTACTAAAGTAGAAGATGTTTCCTTGTACAGGTGGCACGAGTTAGACAGGATGCCGAGGAGACGGAGAGTGCCATGCGTGAGAGGATTCAGAAGCTGGAGATGACAAGACTAGCCTTAGAGGAGGAGATCAGTAAACACAAAAACGCAAACATAAACAACAAACTTCACCACGAGGAACAGCTCAGTCTCGCCAAACAGAAACTCCTATCTGAGGAGGTAATATATCCTCATCTAATCATATAAACACACACCATTGCTCAAAAGTATGCTGTACAAATAGGTATAATCCAATACACATTTGAAATGGGATTATAATGAAGAGTGGGAGTGCTTATTGTCACAAATTAAAAGAACATCGATATTACTCCTGGTCATCTTTTGATATCACGGATAAGTGGCCAATTGTTGAATGTTCCTAAAAAACAATAATGTATGCCTGTATGAATATAAAACTGAACAAGATTAATTCAAGCTATATATCATGGGGTTCTTATTATAGCTCAAGTCAGATTGTCTTCAGGAAGGGATACTCTGTATGAAATAAACTGTTATCGAAAGCTTGTATTGACATATTCTGTGATTGTAGGAACTGCGTCAGCAACATGTGGGGGAGAAGCTGAAGCTTGAGATGCACTTGAAGGATGAGCTGCAGTCTCGGTGTAACCAGCAGTCATCTGTGGTGTCAGAGCTACAGTCCAAAAACAGCTCACTCACCATGGAACTCGAACTGATGAAAAGGCGGGTCGAAGAGCTCCACCAGGTCAGCCAGTACATATTATTGTATCGTCACTTAGGGACTTCCAAGTCCTAAATATGAGTGTCCTGAAGGCAATTTTCTCACTAATTAAATCAAGATCAATGAAACTTCACTGTATGTACATACACATTATATACCTATAAACATACACTGTTCTTCTGCATACACAATTACACACCCGTGTCTCCTACACTATTAACATGCAGTGCTCCATTTTGTACACTGTAACATTATATAACTGAATAAGAAATGTATCTCATTCCCTAGCTGGTACCCTCCCCCTTCTCATGGATCTCTAACATTGTACAGCAAAGGAAGAGATTATAATTACAGTCAAGTTGAAATCATGATAATAATGTTAACAATGAGAAGCTGAAGATAATTAGAAGTGATTTGTTCACCAATCCACAGGAGCTATCAGAGAAGAACAGTATGACTCTGTCTGAGGTTGGCAAGGTGAAGATTGACCTGAATCAGACACTCACAAAGCTTGACGGGGAGAGGAAAATACAAGCTGAACTTAGGGAACAGCTTGGGGAGGCTGACAGAAAGATGTCTGGTAGGTGTAACTATGCTGGTCAAATATGTCTCCAGAAAGCCACACCAAGAATATGTAGTATATAGATTGAAAACAATATTGTTTTGGTCCTAGATATACATGCAAGGTTGAAGAAAGAACAGAAATCAATCAAACTAGTCTGGTTATTTTCATGCTAGTCAGAATTTCGACGAGACATATTGTGGTGCGGGAAATAAGGCCTATAAACTAATTAATTCATGATTGATTTAATTCGGAATATTTGAGTGTAGAAATGATGGAGTTTTTAATAAAGATACTTCATGATTTCAAGTCTATCTCCTTGCTAGACACTAACAAGAGGTAAACAACCGAAATATCCTGATATTTATTTCCAGCTGTTGTGTTGCTATTGTTGCCAACTTGCTTTTAATTTCAATCCTGGCTGCCTATGACTAGGATTTACAGATATCATTGTTTGAAGGAAGGTAGTTTATACATGGTTTTGTTTTATATTTACCTACGTGACTTGCAACAACAGCATTCATGATATATTTGTTAAAACTATTATTAAATGATCATCGGTTAGTCAATAAAAAAATGAGTATTCAGATTCCTGATTTAACTATTTACTACTATATTTCCAGAACAACTTCTCAGACATCGACAATTACTAGAGGACAAAGATTTAGAGACAGAAGATTTGAAAAGGCGATTAAAATCGAGGGAGGCAGAACTTAATGGTATAAGAGAGGAGGAGGGCCAACGAGCACAGGTGTTACAAAATGCTATAATGAACTATGTCAACAAAGTACCTGCTCACTGATTGGTTCTCACTCCAGTAAACACTACATTGTCAAAGAGATCTTTTAAATTCAACTCTGTGAACTAGAAAGTAGGCCCCTACCGACAGAATGTTTCAGTGACCAGTTAGAAGATATCTTACTTAACATGCTATCTATGGCTTCAGTACATTCCTGGTAGATAGATTAGAACAATGGGCCACCACATACAGATTAACTGCACTGTATCATCACCTCACAAATGATGGAAATTTGAATCGCTGATGTATGGATAATACTTTGGTAACAAGTTGCTTTTCATCATAAAATACTCATGTGATGTATGTATTGAAAGAATTATAAGGTGCTTTCTTATCTAATTCGGGAAAAAATACTACACCTCTGTTGAACAGAATGACTTTTTGTTCTGTCATGAGGTCAAATGAATAAGAGACAGAAATGAACTTGATCCTGTATGACTGCTAAGTAACAACAAAACAACGAAGTAATGTATTTATATGAATGTGTAGGTGTTGTGCTGCATGTGAATATCTTGACCGTCCATGTGTAGTTCTGTCTGGGACAGCTGTGATATATATATATATTGAATTATTATGATTGTTGAGTAATGATTAGAGAGAGCTTACCTGTTTGTATTTAATGATACAGTGTCCTTAGTCAGAGTAGTGATATTTATACAATTTGTACAAACTTCATATTTCTACTATACATTCATAACTCCTTATCATTCTTGAACATTTCCCCAGTACTTCTATACAGAATAACTTTCTACACACCAGCACACAGCATTTATACAGGGCTTATTATAAATATTGTTTGATATACAGTACAAGTAAGCTTTAATGTTTCTTAATGCATACTTCATCATGAACCTTGTCATGTATTTTCTCTAGTAGGTGATTCTATAATTTATTCCAATATTTGATTAAAAACATTATATGCAATGTACATTTATGACAGTTCATACAACATGCTTCTCTGCATTTATTTTCACTGTGAATGTTTTTAACTACCTGTTAAAATTCTAGAGTAGTAAATATTAATATTGTGATTTATTTTTGTTAAAATGTTGTACATTTTGAGGACTTTGTTATACATTGATGTAGTTATATCTAGTGTGATAAGTATATGATACATACATGCAGAAATGCAGGTGCACACACAAAATTTTCATGTAAATTCCAATTGTGTCATATACTTCTTGTAGTATCCATGAATTATCAAATCAGGTTCTGTGTAACTGAAAAGGTTTGTTGTGTATAACCATTCGTAGAAATTAAACCCAACAAACTTTGTTTAGCTTACAACAAATTTATTTCCATAAGTTTTCCGCGAAAGTTTGTACCACAACACAATCTAAATAGCTTCAAACCACTTAAAAATACTGTTACTCACTAGCATTGCACGTGGTACGGTAACGTTTTCTATACTTTGTCCAGTAGTTTTACACACCTGTTAGCTTTTTTTCTCACCAACTGCCAACTAAGTAGGAATGATATACTAGAATTGTAACACGAAACGTATCAACTTCACCTTACATTGTTCAACATTACTTTTAACTTTCGTTCATGCAGGAAACAAAAGAGGTAAATGACAATACTACAGCTTTGGTTAGTGGTATACTTGTGATGTAAATAAAGATTCCGCAATGAGTGATAAGTTGTTTATTGTATTTATATAATTCAAGTTATTTAATTTTCAAATTTCAAAAAGACACGAGGTTTACCCAGTGTCTTTTTGAAATTTTAATGTTAAATAATTTAGGTTATATAGACATTATAACAACTGTAATAGGTTATGGAATTTCTTTTCTACCATAACCAATCAACATTAGTTTATTTATTCATTTTTTAAGGTCATGAGGTCAAAATACTAGGAAACATGTTCTGTAATAGCCACTGAAACTGCTCAATATGTTGACACATGTGCTTACAAAAAATCAATAGTTACACTTCGTAACACAATGGCCTAAGCATGATATACGTCTTAGGTTATGGTAGAATTCAGAAATACTATGTGTTTATCTAACATCACAGATAAACAAGTTAATTGTCAGAATACATCCAGGAGTGTGTGTAGGTCTAGAGTGGATGTGTCTGCACTATACACAAGTCCTGACATCAGATACGATGTGTGGTATTACTTTTATTACGTATTAAAATTTGTAGATTATAACTGTTGATCCTCCTGGAATAACGTGACGTTTGATTCCCATCACTATAACCATAAGTGATAACGACTGCAAATAATGTCAATAATGGTTTCTAAATACAGTGTATAATGGGGAAAACATCTTTATTACATTCATGTTCTGTTACACATGCTGGAAATGATATTTTCATGGGATGGAATATTCATAATACTGGTAAAGTTATAATGTAAATGGATTTGAACTTTGACAATTCGTAATGCACAGAGAGGTATGAAAGTGTTCAAATAAAACAAGGTTGATTGTCAGTGTCTTGCGTATGTTTACATTTTACTTGTATATTTAGTTTTAGTTTAAAATGATTAAGTAGGTAAGCTTCTTGAATATATTTGTAAATTATATATAAAATGTATAAATATGTACATAAACATTGATACATATAAGCAGGTGTCCATTTGTATGTAAAATGTATAAAAATGTACATAAAATTTTGGTAAAACTATGACAATTGTGTTATAATTTTGGCACTGAAATGTACTAGATCTGTAGGTAAAATAATGTCTACAGTAACAGATTCCAGATCTGTAGTTAAAATAATGTCTACAGTTGCAAACAGATTCCAGATCTGTAGTTAAAATAATGTCTACAATAACAGAGTCCAGATCTGTAGGTAAAATAATATCTACAGTAGCAAACAGATTCCAGATCTGTAGTTAAAATAATGTCTACAGTAACAGATTCCAGATCTGTAGTTAAAATCATGGCTACAGTAACGAACAGATTCCAGATCTGTAGTTAAAATAATGTCTACAGTAACAGAGTCCAGATCTGTAGTTAAAATAATGTCTACAGTAGCAAACAGAGTCCAGATCTGTAGTTAAAATAATGTCTACAGTAGCAAACAGATTCCAGATCTGTAGTTAAAATAATATCTACTCTAGCGGACAAATGCAAGATCTGGAGTTGAAATAATATCGACAGTAGCTGAGACCAAATCTGTAGGTAAAATGATATCAATAGTACCAGTCTGAGTCCAGATCTGAAGGAAATATAATGTTTGTTGTAACAGATTCCAGATCTGTAGGTAAAACAACCCTGTACTACACAATTAGTCACACCCTCATAGTCCGTTGTACATACTATAACACTGTGGGTGATACTTATGTGGCCCTACATCCTGCAAAACACCCGAGGGTGAACAAATCCAGGGGTCAAAGGTTATATTCTGCCACATATTCAATTGGTTCTGCAGCTGATGATAAACCTTTGAGTGACTTGGATCACGAGCTAAATTGTGGAGTTCCTGTGGGTCAGTAACTATGTTGAAGAGTTCCCACTGGTCCCTGTAGTAGTAGTTGTGGAGAGTTTTGTACCAGTGTGTTTCCTTTCCCTGCTGTGTTCTGTTCAGCAGATCTTGGAATGTCCTTGAAACAAAAAAATCCTGATCTATCATGAATGGCATTTGAAAGTTAATATTTTGAATGAGCTTGTATTGTTTGTTTCTTACCACCCTCATAGGGTAGTACATTGTCACCTCGTGGAGGCTGTGACTGGCATATACAGTATCCCAAGATTCCTTTGGTTCCTCCTTAAGCAAAGGGAGTAAAGACTTGCCGGTCAAGGTCACAGCATTTTTGAGGATCTTGTAGTGAGGATATTTGACACCAAACCAGTCCAGTACTGTAGGGAGAATGTCCACATGGCTCAACATAGCATCACTTTTCTGAAATTTCAAAGGTATTCTTAAACACCAGTACTGCCTTCCCAATATTCTAAATCACCAGTACTGCCTTCCCAATATTCTAATCACCAGTACTGCCTTCCCAATATTCTTAAACACCAGTACTGCCTTCCCAATATTCTAAAACACCAGTACTGCCTTCCCAATATTCTAAAACACCAGTACTGCCTTCCCAATATTCTAAAACACCAGTACTGCCTTCCCAATATTCTAAATCACCAGTACTGCCTTCCCAATATTCTAAATCACCAGTACTGCCTTCCCAATATTCTAAATCACCAGTACTGCCTTCCCAATATTCTAAATCACCAGTACTGCCTTCCCAATATTCTAAATCACCAGTACTGCCTTCCCAATATTCTAAATCACCAGTACTGCCTTCCCAATATTCTAAATCACCAGTACTGCCTTCCCAATATTCTTATCACCAGTACTGCCTTCCCAATATTCTAAAACACCAGTACTGCCTTCCCAATATTCTAAAACACCAGTACTACCTTCCCAATATTCTAAAACACCAGTACTGCCTTCCCAATGTTCTAAAATACCAGTACTGCCTTCCCAAGACACATGTATGTATTACAAGTTTAGTGAATACAGCTGAAGTAGCAACAAAGTTATGCTGTCGAAAATCTTTGGCATAAAAATAAACAAAGGGCCATAACTCTGTATGGGACGAGCACAAGACCAAAATTCAGCATGTGACATTTCACCTTCTCAACCTACATAATTATAGAAAGTTCAGTGAATGTAGGCGAAAGAACAAAGAAGTAATGTTAAAGACAAACTTTGTTAAAAGACAAACTTTGGTGTAAAAAACAGAACAAAGGGCAATAACTGCATATGATGGGACAGGAGACCTGATTTTGGTATGCATAACTCTGTCTTACCACAACACATAAGTAGAGCAAGTTCAGTGAATATGGGTGTAATAGCAAGGAAAAAAATAGCTTTTTGTTTTTAAACAAACCATTTTCCTCAGGTTGAAATTATATTTATCCACCATTACAATTGGGAAAATACAGTTCAAATTTATATTTCAGGGAAAAAGCCTGCATTACGTCATAAGTACTACAAAATCACTATTCAGGAATATTTTTTGTGCCACTTGAATGTTGAAGAGGAATATTGTGAAAGCAACCAAGGATATGAACGACAGAACTTTATCTGTTATTATACTGGATTAAATTTGCCAAGACTCCCCATTTTATGTTTCCGTGTCATTACTTTCTGTTATCATATTTGTTTATAAATAAAATAATTTAAATGACAATCTCAACCTGGTAAAACTTTATGTGTTCATGAGAAATATTTAGTTCATTAATACTACCCACCTGTCCCAAGCGCTTCCTATGGTATGGTGAGGACATAATGAATGGTTCAGCCAAACCTGAGTCATACAAATTGGTGCGGCCATTGGGGAAAGGTATGCCATTGTCGGAGGAGTACATGACGAGAGTGTCATCTGCATGGCCTGCCAACTCTAGCTCCTTCAGTATAAGACCTATACCTTGAGGCACAAAAAAGATACAATGATGTTTATGCTCCAGGGAAGATACATCGTTTACTACAATGCTCTCTTCATGGCCTGCTGCCTCTACGTCGTTCAGTACAACTTTCTCTCACAAAGCACTGTAAACCACTTTATTTTTATGAGGACTTTAATTTGCAAACTAAGCCTGTAGCTTTTATCTGCAAATGCTTGAATTTTTGATTGGGATGAAGCTATCATAATATTGATATTACTTATCTATAGAACTAATATGTGTTGAATATTTAAATCAAAAGAGTTGTATTGCCATTTTGATGCAAAAATAATCTCTCATAGAAAAAAGTGATTCATAGTATGTGTGTAGGAGAGCAAGTAATTTGTTAGATTGTTGTCTACAAATCCTGCTCTTATTAATTCAGTACTAGGCCTGGACATTTCAGTATAAAGTGACTTAGCATTAAATGTTTAGAAGGTTAACAGTGTGATGAAAACAAATTTCTGAAGTCTCTTTTTGTCATATTTGAAGATGTAAAGACATACAAATCTGATGAGAATTTTCAAATAAAACTTTAAAATCAAAGAGGACCTTGATCTGAACGTCTCTCAATTCTTCTAAACCCTAACTGGGACGTCGGTTAGATAGAGATTTCCCATTGAGTAATGACTGGTTATCATGTTTATCTAACTTGAGATAGTTAATTTTCAAATTGTATGAAGACATGAGGTTTATAAAGAGTCTTTTACAATTTGAGAATTAACTTACACGTTTCTGTTGGAAAATACACTTAGATGAATTTGCAAAGAACTGTTGCACGACGTTATAATGAAAAGATTGACCAATGAAATGATGTACAGGGTGTCACCCACTAGTAGGTAACCAAAAATGTTTACAAACTACTAGCCGGTTTATTCAATGAGTCATTAGTGAGCTGTGGGTAAATTTTTTGATACTTTAGAGCACAAAGTCTATCTTGCTTAACATGCCGAATTAATGCTGTGCGTACCCCACATTGTATACATATGGTATGCATGGAGTCCTAATAAATTCTGCTCAAGGCTGTATACAAAGACATAAGAATCCTAATAGTTTACCTTGGTCCATACGGTTTATGGTGGTGTACTGGGCAGCAATGTCCAGTCTGGCAGCAGGAGTGTCCTGGACAAAATAGGGAACAACCACAGATGCAGGATCAAAAAAGACTGGATTCCAATCAGGCATGGTCCCATCAGCACCGAACTTCTCACAGAACTGTCCGTACTGGGGATGGGTGTGACCACATCGATGGGGGTCGTGGAATGCCACATACAGAAAGAAAGGACTGGAATATAGATTAGAAAATACAGCAAACTAAATGCGATGAAATTCAATAATGTAGAGGTGGAGCTGGGTTGGTGGGTGGAGGTGGGAGAGGGAACTGATTTTGTGGGTGGAGGTGGGAGAGGGATCTGATTTTGTGGATGGAGGTGGGAGAGGGAACTGATTTTGTAGGTGGAGGGGGGAGAGGGGACTGATTTTGTGGGTGGAGGTGGGGGAGGGAACTGATTTTGTGGGTGGGGGTGGGAGAGGGAACTGATTTTGTGGGTGAAGGTGGGAGTGGGAACTGATTTTGTGGGTGGAGGAGGGAGAGGGAACTGATTTTGTCGGTGGAGGTGGGAGAGGGAACTGATTTTGTAGGTGGGGGTGGGAGAGGGAACTGATTTTGTGGGTGAAGGGGGGAGGGGGAACTGATTTTGTGGGTGGAGGTGGGAGAGGGAACTGGTTTTGTGGGTGGAGGTGGGGGAGGGAACTGATTTTGTAGGTGGAGGTGGGAGAGGGAACTGATTTTGTGGGTGGAGGTTGGGAATGGGACTGACTTTGTGGGTGGAGGTTGGGAATGGGACTGACTTCGTGGGAGGGCCTGGGGGTGGAACTGGCACAGTGGGTGAAGGTGGGAGATGGAACTTGCTTAGTGGGTGGAGGTGGGAGATGGGACTGATTTTGTGGGTGGAGATGGGGGATGGGTTTGGCCTGGTGGGAGGGGCTGTGGGACAGAAGTGGCTTGGTCAGTATGGGTAGGGGATGGGGGGAGATTTTTGGGACTGGTTTGGTGGGTGCAAAGTTACGTTTGAACTAGTGGAGTTTTCTAATTGTTTTTCTAACTTCAATATTAACAAAATATTTCAATGTCCATGTATATGCTTTAATTGGGCACATAATATAAACGAAGCTCATTTCCATTCTATCGCACTATTGTGAAACTAATGCTTGTTTTGCAAAAATCATATCTAATAGAATCTTGTTTGACATCCTCTATATGGTGCAAAAGTGGTAAATAGTGTGATAACATTTAGAGTGCAAAAGTTGTAATTACAAAATGAGACACATTTTAAACTATACCAGTTACTGGTATATTAATATATCCTGCCTAACATCCTTCAACTGAAGGCATATAGATTGTTGTTGTGTGCGGTCACATGTTTTAACAATACATGTGATCTATATCAATGGACACACAAATTGTATTACACCATAAATTTTACCATTAATTTATGGTGACACCAGTTTCTTTAATTATCTCCCTTGATATATCACCAAACAGCCAAAATGTGAATTAATAAATTGATAACTTTACATTTGGTGGTCATGTGGGGAAGCTCTCACCTGGAAGAATTTTGACGCAGAAACTCACGCACATGTTGACGAATGAAGGTGATGTTTCTTCCTGTTTGCAGAATACTGTGGCCATCAAGTTCAGTTACGGAATAATCAAATGGGTATACTGACTCAGGACCCAGATTCTTCTTACCAATTATACCTGGTAAAGGGTAACAAAGTGAAGTTAAACATATAAAGCTAATAACCTTCTTAAAGTTTAAACATGCAAGTGGCCTCCATACCTCACCCCAACAACCTGTCAACCAGTATTCACACCTGTCCAGTCTCTGCTCCTTGTTTTACCTGTCCCGACCCTCTCTCCTGTTCTACCTGTTCTGACCCCTCTCTCCTGTCTAACCTGTTCCGACCCTCTCTCCTGTCTTACCTGTTCCGACCCTCTCTCCTGTCTTACCTGTCCTGACCCTCTCTCCTGTCTAACCTGTTCCGACCCTCTCTCCTGTCTTACCTGTTCCGACCCTCTCTCCTGTCTTACCTGTCCTGACCCTCTCTTCTGTCTAACCTGTACTGACCCTCTCTTCTGTCTTACCTGTCCTGGCCCTCTCTTCTGTCTTACCTGTCCTGACCCTCTCTTCTGTCTTACCTGTCCTGACCCTCTCTCCTGTCTTACCTCTCCTCACTCGCTCTTCTGTCTAACCTGCCCCAATCCTCTCTTCTGTCTAACCTGTCCTGACCCTCTCTCCTGTCTTACCTGTCCCCACCCTCTCTTCCGTCTAACCTGACCTGACTCTCTCTCCTGTCTAACCTGTCCTGACCCTCGCTTCTGTCTTACCTGTCCTGACCCTCTCTTCTGTCTAACCTGTCCTGACCCTCTCTCCTGTCTAACCTGTCCTGACCCTCTCTCCTGGCTAACCTGTCCTGACCCTCTCTCCTGTCTAACCTGTCCTGACCCTCGCTTCTGTCTTACCTGTCCTGACCCTCGCTTCTGTCTTACCTGTCCTGACCCTCTCTTCTGTCTTACCTGTCCTGACCCTCTCTTCTGTCTTACCTGTTTTGACCCTCTCTCTTGTCTTACCTGTTCGGACACCTGCCCCTTTTAATAGTGATGGCAGGCTTCTGACGTCCTCAAACGACTGAAAGTGGTGGTAGCCATTGAACAGCCCGTACATTCCATTCTGGTGCTGTGGTAATCCTGACAACACCACTGACCTGTAAACATTTTCCCATTATCAACTGTATTTTATAAAACAAGTACACTCCCCTACCCCAGTATGTTATTTATTGTTAATTAGATTTATTGTTTACCTAATATTTCTTAATAATGAAGTCATCTAGTGCTGATTCTTCCATCTATCGCCCTATTATGGAATGCTGATAAAAATCAAGAAATGTTTTTTTGGCAATATGTTAAATGCTTACAGGTATATTAGAAAGCTGTCCTACATCCTACATCACTATTTACAATATACCTAGAATATGCTTTTCTCATATGTCTATCATATCATAAAAATGTATGTTACAAATCTAGAGAATGTTGATTGAATGACTTACATTGGAAATTGATATGTGCATGTCAATACTGATTTCAGATCCAATAACAAAACAATAACAGGTTTTTCACTTGCTCAGTATGCTTCCATATTTTCCATCTACTGCTTTAATTATATATGTATACCTGCTTGGTGAACAACTGCTGACAGATGTAAAAGCGTTGTTAAAAACCAAACTCCTCTCTGCTAACTTGTTCAGGTTTGGTGTCTTACATATTTCATTGTTGTACACCTGTGTCTCAAATCCAGCATCATCCCCTAAAAAAGAAATATACAAATCTAGGGGATGATCCTGGATTTGTATAATTCTGTTTAAGAGGATGAAAATCCATCATCATCCCCTGTACAGATTTATACAAATCCAGCATCATCCCCTAAACCAGATTTATACGAATTCAGCATCATCCCCTGTACAGATTATACAAATCCAGCATCATCCCCTGTACAGATTTATACAAATCCGGCATCATCCCCTGTACAGATTTATACAAATCAATCATCATGCCCTGTACAGATTTATACAAATCCAGCATCATCCCCCGGTCAAATTTATACAAATCCAGCATCATCCCCTGTAAAGATTTATACAAATCCAGCATCATCCCCTAAACCAGATTTATACGAATTCAGGATCATCCCCTGTACAGATTATACAAATCCAGCATCATCCCCTGTACAGCTTTATACAAATCCAGCATCATCCCCTGTACAAATTTATACAAATCCAGCATCATCCCCTGTAAAGATTTATACAAATCCAGCATCATCCCCTAAACCAGATTTATACAAATCTATCATCATCCCCTGTACAGATTTATACAAATCTATCATCATCCCCTTTACAGATTTATACAAATCCAGCATCATCCCCTAAACCAGATTTATATGAATTCAGCATCATCCCCTGTACAGATTATACAAATACAGCATCATCCCCTGTACAGATTTATACAAATCTATCATCATCCCCTGTACAGATTTATACAAATCTATCATCATCCCCTAAAACAGATTTATACAAATCTATCATCATCCCCTTTACAGATTTATACAAATCCAGCATCATCCCCCGGTCAAATTTATACAAATCCAGCATCATCCCCTGTAAAGATTTATACAAATCCAGCATCATCCCCTAAACCAGATTTATACAAATCTATCATCATCCCCTGTACAGATTTATACAAATCAATCATCATTCCCTGTACAGATTTATACAAATCCAGCATCATCCTCTAAACCAGATTTATACAAATCCAGCATCATCCCCTGCACAGATTTATACAAATCCAGCATCATCCCCTGTACAGATTGATACCAATCAATCATCATCCCCTAAAACAGATTTATACAAATGCAGCATCATCCCCTGTACAGATTTATACAAATCAATCATCATTCCCTGTACAGATTTATACAAATCCAGCATCATCCCCTGTACAGCTTTATACAAATCCAGCATCATCCCCTGTACAAATTTATACAAATCCAGCATCATCCCCTGTACAGAATGATACCAATCAATCATCATCCCCTAAAACAGATTTATACAAATCCGGCATCATCCCCTGTACAGATTTATACAAATCTATCATCATCCCCTGTACAGATTTATACAAATCTATCATCATCCCCTAAACCAGATTTATACAAATCTAGCATCATCCCCTAAAACAGATTTATACAAATCCAGCATCATCCCCTGTACTGATTGATGCAAATCCAGCATCATCTCCTGTACAGATTTATACAAATCCAGCATCATACCCTAAAACAGATTTATACAAATCTATCATCATCCCCTGTACAGATTTATACAAATCCAGCATCATCCCCTGTACAGATTTATACAAATCCAGCATCATCCCCTGTACAGATTTATACAAATCCATCATCATCCCCTGTACAGATTTATACAAATCCAGCATCATCCCCTGTACAGATTTATACAAATCCAGCATCATCCCCTGTACAGATTTATACAAATCCAGCATCATCCCCTGTACAGATTTATACAAATCCAGCATCATCCCCTGTACAGATTTATACAAATCCAGCATCATCCCCTGTACAGATTTATACAAATCCAGCATCATCCCCTGTACAGATTTATACAAATCCAGCATCATCCCCTGTACAGATTTATACAAATCCAGCATCATCCCCTGTACAGATTTATACAAATCCAGCATCATCCCCTGTACAGATTTATACAAATCCAGCATCATCCCCTGTACAGATTTATACAAATCCAGCATCATCCCCTGTACAGATTTATACAAATCCAGCATCATCCCCTGTACAGATTTATACAAATCCAGCATCATCCCCTGTACAGATTTATACAAATCCAGCATCATCCCCTGTACAGATTTATACAAATCCAGCATCATCCCCTGTACAGATTTATACAAATCCAGCATCATCCCCTGTACAGATTTATACAAATCCAGCATCATCCCCTGTACAGATTTATACAAATCCAGCATCATCCCCTGTACAGATTTATACAAATCCAGCATCATCCCCTGTACAGATTTATACAAATCCAGCATCATCCCCTGTACAGATTTATACAAATCCAGCATCATCCCCTGTACAGATTTATACAAATCCAGCATCATCCCCTGTACAGATTTATACAAATCCAGCATCATCCCCTGTACAGATTTATACAAATCCAGCATCATCCCCTGTACAGATTTATACAAATCCAGCATCATCCCCTGTACAGATTTATACAAATCCAGCATCATCCCCTGTACAGATTTATACAAATCCAGCATCATCCCCTGTACAGATTTATACAAATCCAGCATCATCCCCTGTACAGATTTATACAAATCCAGCATCATCCCCTGTACAGATTTATACAAATCCAGCATCATCCCCTGTACAGATTTATACAAATCCAGCATCATCCCCTGTACAGATTTATACAAATCCAGCATCATCCCCTGTACAGATTTATACAAATCCAGCATCATCCCCTGTACAGATTTATACAAATCCAGCATCATCCCCTGTACAGATTTATACAAATCCAGCATCATCCCCTGTACAGATTTATACAAATCCAGCATCATCCCCTGTACAGATTTATACAAATCCAGCATCATCCCCTGTACAGATTTATACAAATCCAGCATCATCCCCTGTACAGATTTATACAAATCCAGCATCATCCCCTGTACAGATTTATACAAATCCAGCATCATCCCCTGTACAGATTTATACAAATCCAGCATCATCCCCTGTACAGATTTATACAAATCCAGCATCATCCCCTGTACAGATTTATACAAATCCAGCATCATCCCCTGTACAGATTTATACAAATCCAGCATCATCCCCTGTACAGATTTATACAAATCCAGCATCATCCCCTGTACAGATTTATACAAATCCAGCATCATCCCCTGTACAGATTTATACAAATCCAGCATCATCCCCTGTACAGATTTATACAAATCCAGCATCATCCCCTGTACAGATTTATACAAATCCAGCATCATCCCCTGTACAGATTTATACAAATCCAGCATCATCCCCTGTACAGATTTATACAAATCCAGCATCATCCCCTGTACAGATTTATACAAATCCAGCATCATCCCCTGTACAGATTTATACAAATCCAGCATCATCCCCTGTACAGATTTATACAAATCCAGCATCATCCCCTGTACAGATTTATACAAATCCAGCATCATCCCCTGTACAGATTTATACAAATCCAGCATCATCCCCTGTACAGATTTATACAAATCCAGCATCATCCCCTGTACAGATTTATACAAATCCAGCATCATCCCCTGTACAGATTTATACAAATCCAGCATCATCCCCTGTACAGATTTATACAAATCCAGCATCATCCCCTGTACAGATTTATACAAATCCAGCATCATCCCCTGTACAGATTTATACAAATCCAGCATCATCCCCTGTACAGATTTATACAAATCCAGCATCATCCCCTGTACAGATTTATACAAATCCAGCATCATCCCCTGTACAGATTTATACAAATCCAGCATCATCCCCTGTACAGATTTATACAAATCCAGCATCATCCCCTGTACAGATTTATACAAATCCAGCATCATCCCCTGTACAGATTTATACAAATCCAGCATCATCCCCTGTACAGATTTATACAAATCCAGCATCATCCCCTGTACAGATTTATACAAATCCAGCATCATCCCCTGTACAGATTTATACAAATCCAGCATCATCCCCTGTACAGATTTATACAAATCCAGCATCATCCCCTGTACAGATTTATACAAATCCAGCATCATCCCCTGTACAGATTTATACAAATCCAGCATCATCCCCTGTACAGATTTATACAAATCCAGCATCATCCCCTGTACAGATTTATACAAATCCAGCATCATCCCCTGTACAGATTTATACAAATCCAGCATCATCCCCTGTACAGATTTATACAAATCCAGCATCATCCCCTGTACAGATTTATACAAATCCAGCATCATCCCCTGTACAGATTTATACAAATCCAGCATCATCCCCTGTACAGATTTATACAAATCCAGCATCATCCCCTGTACAGATTTATACAAATCCAGCATCATCCCCTGTACAGATTTATACAAATCCAGCATCATCCCCTGTACAGATTTATACAAATCCAGCATCATCCCCTGTACAGATTTATACAAATCCAGCATCATCCCCTGTACAGATTTATACAAATCCAGCATCATCCCCTGTACAGATTTATACAAATCCAGCATCATCCCCTGTACAGATTTATACAAATCCAGCATCATCCCCTGTACAGATTTATACAAATCCAGCATCATCCCCTGTACAGATTTATACAAATCCAGCATCATCCCCTGTACAGATTTATACAAATCTATCATCATCCCCTGTACAGATTTATACAAATCCATCATCATCCCCTAAAACAGATTC